CTGAAGATCAAGAGACTAACAGCCTGCCTGGAAAACGGCATGACCCTCATCCAACAAGAGGATGGATGCCCAGTTACTCCCAGGAAAACACACCTCCATTGGGAGGAGTAAAAGAAGTGGAGATGCAGGAAAAGTCAGTCAGAATTGACAACACATAAAATCACAAAAATACACTGAAGCAAGTTACTATTTATTCAGGACTCAGATGCGTCTAATTGGAGGCATGAAATACCTTTATAGACTCTACAGTGGATTTGAGTTTCTCCTTAATCCCTTTGGGAAGAACAGGATCAAGCAGATTCTCGTCTGAATCTGGTCACACACTGTGAGGGATGATGACCTCCTCCTAGGGTTTCCTGGCAACTGACGAGTGCAGGCCGGACACAGGAAGGCTATTTTGGAACAAGGGAGCCCCTGACCCCAGAGGACCCCCGAGCCTCGGCACCGAGCTCTGGGGTGCCTGCAGTTCCAGGGCTCACTCTGGTGGACACTCTGAACCAAGACTAAAGGAACCCTAGAACCTCAACTACAGGAGCTTATTATTAGCCTTTATTTCTACCCGAGCCTCTCGAGAGCTGCTCTGACTTTCCAGAAAACATTTTCAAAAAAATATGTTAAGATACTCTTTCCCTGCGGCTGGCCAAGCAACATGGCTCAATCTTAATTCTGTAGCCCAAAGGCTTCAGCTTCTCTTAAGTATGGAGAGCAGAGAAAAGGGAGGAAATTCCTAAACACCTAAGAAAGAAATAAAAAAAAAATCCCTGAGCAATCAGTGATAACAGCCCAGTGGGAGAGAGAAGCTGAATGTATTCAAAGCCTCAGACAGCATCTGGGGGTTTACATTTCAAATCAAATGAAAATGGTCACAGTTGTTTACACTCACACAAAGACTTTCACAGGGAAAGGGTCTGATTCTCTGAGCTTTATTTCTCTCCCTGATCTGTAAAAGAGAGATAATTTCTCCCTCAAAAAATGTTGGGAAGATTAAATGGGCTTATGGACATTACAAAGCACTGTGGACACAGACTGACCTCAGACTCCAAGAAGAGCTATCAGCAAGCCCTTCACACCCTGAGCTCTCCTGCTCTCATGACAGACCTCTGCTTACTCCCACAGGCCAAGTGTGAGCACAGGGTGGATTCCAGAGACCACACAGAAAGCAGCCAGACACGGAAATGTATAAATACTCAAAACAACCAGAAGAAAATATGTGAACTTACATAACAGACATTTAGTAAACAGCCATCATATGAAGAGGAGTTCCTACAAATCAATAAAGAAAACACCTAAGAGTGAGGAAAGGACATCAACAGGAAATATGCATAAAGAATATACAGGCCGATAAATATGCCAAGAAGGTGTTCAACCTCACTAAAAATTGAGGATATGCAGATTAAAATAATACAGAATTTATAAGCTAGTGTAGGAGTTGGAGCCCAATGCAAAGCTCCTCCCTGTGGTATTTAAGGATCTCAAAGCATTTTGGTTGGCACCCATCTATTCAGCCTTAAATTAAGAAGGAGGAGTTGAGAAGACCTGCCCAGGTAAACAGAGCCCCTGGTCAAATTTTCTTACTTTTTCATTCTTAAATGTGAATAAGCAGCCAAGAAACACCAACCATTTGTGGAAAGTCTGCAACATGAAAAAGAGAAAAGTGAAAGCAAATGAGCAGACAAATATGCATTTCAGAGAATGAAAGAAAATTTTGCAAGAGTGGCCCTTATCTTTTAGAGATACACAGGGAAATCCTTGTGGATGAAATGACATGATAACCGGGATTCCACACCCTCCAAACCCGGCCAGAGTCCTGCTTCGGGATTTTTCAAACTGGAGCTGCATTGGCTCAGGAAGAGGAAGGAGGTGTGGGTTAGGAATACCCCTCTATAATAGAAACGCTGTGGAAATGGACGCCGGGGCCTTTCCTAGGGCAGGAGGAGTTGCAGCGAGGAAGGACTGATTCCCCAAGAACCTCCGTGTCTACCTAGTGAGTTCTGAGTGTTCAGCGTCTCCCTACATCCTGTAAGCTCCTGTAAGCTCCCCCAGGACCCCCTCAGCAGACCTCTTCTGCAGCCAGCACTGTTAAGGACGGGTTTCTGCTACTGGCAAGAACACGAGTCCTGACAGCCAGTACAGGAGTCAGCCAGGAAGGCAAGGAGTCACAGAGGTGAGGCTGCCGTTGCGGCCATTTCATACCTGATCCCTCCAACCTTTACTGAGGGCCAACCACACACTAGGCACGGTTCCAGATGCTGGAAAATACAAAGGTGAAAGAGACACGGCCCACTGATCTCAAAAAACTAAGTCTACTATCACCAGAGTCTTAGAGAATATAACTGAGGGGACTCTTGTTCCACCAGAAGTTAACTAACATCTCAGAAGACAACATGGAGGTAAGCCAGGAGCTTCTAACAGCTTGGAAGACAAATGCACATTTTAAATGATCCTAGTTAGTTAAAACTAGGTTGGTGACATAATCTATTGATAAAAAGCTAGACATCTGAAGTGACTAGGCAAAAGTACAATGCAATACAAAAAAGGGGAGCCGAGAAACCATGAATAACACAAAAGTTAAAACGCGTTACCACCTCAGTGGCAGTGGGAATCTGCTGGTGATAAGACAAACTTGAGACTCAGGGACACCCCAGAAGCCATCTCAGAATCGGCGGCTAAAAAATGTCTCCCAGAGGCAAAGAGGTGGGAGGAGAGGACAACAGAGGAAACCTGTCCTGTTGGGTTTCCAAGGCCTTGTTTCTAGGACAGACCTGGGAAGAACAGGATCTTCATTAAGCAGAAGGACCTGCCAGCTCATGGTCCAAAATGTCACGGTGAAAAGCTACTGGGATTCCATCTCTGCCATACACAGATGGTCATCGAAGGAGAAGAGTCCTCTGGCTCACATCTCCGCTCAGAAGACCTGCAAATACACCAGTGTCCCCACAAGGCCTGAGGCCAGGGTCACAGGGTCATGGTCAGCAGTGACAGTGACGCTGACGTGTGACACCGACTGCCTGTTTTCTGATGGAGCAGAGACAGGAGCGTACAGATCACTCGTGAGAAAACTCTGGACTGAATGGGCCTTTTTCTGCCTTCTTCTCAGGCCTCTTTTGTAGAGAGATGAAGCAGAAAACAAAGAAGAGATTCATCACCATGCGCCCGTCCAGCAGCTGTTTTCTTGTTGTCTCTTGTTTGACTTCTCTCAAGAGAGCAGAGCTAACTACTCAAGCCAAGCAGGTGTTTAAGGCAGGTGATTTTGTTTCCATTACTTTTCTGAAGTAACAGTAAACCAGACAAGAGAGTTACGTCATGCAGTCCTGGAGAAACCAGAACCCGGTGTGTAACCCCCAGTGGGGTGTGTTTGCTGCAGGACCGGGCATCCACCCCCTGCTGCCGCAGCACCTTCCGTCTCTAGTTCTCAGAATAAGTGGAACCTTAGCGGTCACCAACCGTCCCCACCCTCGACATCTGGATCAATCATCATTAACAATGTGTTCAAATGGAAGGTGAGGTTGGAGGCTTTCAGGTTTGGAGGGAAAACCAGATTAAGAAAAGCATCAACTTCACTGCCCAGATAAACCATCACATTAATAACTACAAGGATAGCCTCACTACTGTGAGGGAGGTGAATAAAAGCCATGAAACATTTCTGCTTTCATGTTTAGACTTCAATTCAGTCTCTCAGTCTTGTCCGGCTCTTTGTGACCCCATGAACTGCAGCACGCTAGGCCTCCCTGTCCATCACCAACTCCCAGAGTTTACTCAAACTCATGTCCATTGAGTTGGTGATGCCATCCAACCATCTCATCCTCTGTCGTCCCCTTCTCCTCCTGCCTTCAGTCTTTCCCAGCGTCAGGGTTTTTCCAAATGAGTCAGCTCATTGCATCAGGTGGCCAAAGTATTGGAGTTTCAGCTTCAATCAGTCCTTCCAATGAATATTCAGGACTGATTTCCTTTAGGATAGACTAGGTGGATGTTTAAATTTAAGGCTAAACTAACTCAAACCTACGAATCTAGCCCGAGCCCTGGATGGCCCTTCCAGGCTTCCGCGCCCCTCCCTGAGGAGGCCCACAGCCCGGGCCTGCCTCTGCACCACAGTGACCCACGGCTCCGGGGAGGAGGGCTCCTCTCCTCCCAGTGGGCAGCACTTGTCACTTGGGGACCTAGGAGAACGGCCCACCTTCTCACCCAGACGGCAGACGGCCCCCAGCTTACGACGATCTGACTCACATCTTCTCTACTATATGATGGTGCAAATTTGATACTCATTCAGCAGTGATGTTTCTACATGAAAAGTCTGAATTCAGGTCTTTTCCTGGCCTGGCAGCATGCTGCCCCACGGGCTCTCACGATGTAGGGCAGCGAGCCAGAGCTCCCGTTGGCCCCGTGGTCATGAGGGTAAACAACCGATGGCCCGACAGCATTCTGAACCCAGACAACCATTCTGGCTTGCTGGCGGTAGTGTTCAACAAATTACCTGAGCCAGTCAATGCTTTATTATAAAACAGGTTTCTGGGTTGATTTGGCCCAACTGTAGCCTAGCGTCAGCGTTCTGACGTGGTTACGACGGCGAGGCTGGGGTTGCTTCCCTGATGGTCCAGGCGTAAAGAGTCTGCCTGCCAATGCAGGAAGACACCGGTTCCATCCCTGGTCCAGGAAGATCCCACATGCCGCAGAGCAAACAAGTGTGTGTGCCACAACTACTGAGCCCACGGGCTGCAGCTACCAAAGACATGCTCCCTGGAACCCATGCTCCGCAATGAGAAGCCCACGTGCCACAACTGTAGGGTGGCCCCTGCTCCCACAGCTACAGAAAAGTCCAAGCAGCAATGAGGACCCAGACAGCCAAAAACAAATACATAAAGTTATTTTTAAAAAAGAACTCATTTAAGACTGGTGAGGCTAAACCACAGTGTTCTGGGAGGATGTATTAAATGCGTTTTGGAGTTAACAGTATTTTCACCTGACGATGGATTCATCCTGAAGTTTTGTGCATGTCAGCTTACCTTTAGTCTTCTCCTATTGTAGAGCCATTGTCACCAGGAGCAAACATCCGGTGACACATTTCTCTCTCTTTGTCCATGTAGTCCCTATAGTAGCTGCAGGGAGAAATACCCAGTAGTTAGAGAAGTGCAGCATCTATGGGAAGTGACACCTAGCGGCTAGAATTCTCCACTCAGGGCCAGAAACACCGAAACTCCAGCAGGCCTCAAACCCAATCAGGAGGAGGTGGAAGCAATGCTGGAGGAGGAGGGGACTGGGGGAGGCTCCCCAGAGTGCTGTTCAGGAAACACTTGGACAAAAAGCCCACCATCTGCAAAGACAGCAGCCTCGAAGGTTAGGAGCTGCTGTCAGAGACGCTGTCAGCTGTGTGCAGCTGAGCAACACCTCATACTCAGAGATCTCTCATTTATCTTGAGGCTTTCCTGCCAAAGAATGGTCAGATTCCAAAGATTTTTACACCTTTCTTAACAGGATGTTTATAAATACCAGAAAGGAAACTTCTGTAAGTCCTCAAGGCCTGAAATGCAAATATCTGGATTCAAGCAGGAGGTACACAGACCTTGTGCTTTTTTTTTTCAAATGTCAAGAAAGCTTTAGGGCTGCCTTGATGGTCCAGTGCTTAAGAATCCGCCTTGCAATGCAGGGGACACGGATTCAATTCCTTCATGCCTCAGGGCAACTAAGCGCGTGTGCCGCAGCTACTGAAGCCTGGACACCTGCAGCCTGCGCTCTGCGACAAGAGAAGCCACTGCAAAGAAGACACTGTCCTCCAACTAGTCCCCGCTCACAGCAACGAAGACCCAGCACAACCGAAAACAAATACTCAAAAAAAGAAAGCGTTAACTAGCAGTCTGCATTAAACGTTTAAAAATGTTAACATAAGTAGAGAAACCTCACCAATAGAGAAACAAAAGAACACCTTAAAAAAAAAGTGGTTATAATATGAGGTGATGGAATTATGTCGAAATTTTCAAAGTTTTCTACAATGAATATGTAGCTTCCACAATCAGAAAAAGTTACATTACTGGTATCGGTATCACCTGGGTAACAAGAGAGTCATCCGAGGGAATGACTCAGACCTGAAAGAGCCATTTCAAATCAAACCAGCATCTTGAAGACATCTTCCTGCAGTCATTTGAGCACAGAGATTCTCAGCTGGCAGGGAAGAATATCTGAAGAATGCTGCCCTTTCTAAAAATCACACTGGCCACCTCTTTAGGGTGCTGCCTGGTGAGGAGGAAAGGGAGATGGGCAATGGTCCAGGTGAGCAATGGTGTGTGGTTTGGAGGTCTGTCCTACGCCCCCATCCCCTCTCCGGAGCTTTGGGTTTAGAGAGCTGAGCACTTCCTAAAGCCACCTCTAGGGGGCGCTGCCTCCTAACACGGGCTTGGCAACATCGAACAGTCCTTCACCCAAGTGAACAGGCCAGAGCGGCAGATACACCGCATATTTCTTTCTCTGTTTGTGCTCCTGCAAACCGTGGTCTCACCCGGCCAGTTTCTTCAGCTCGTTATTGATGTCGTGGTTGAAGGGCTGCTCCCTCTGGGCTCGGACTAGAAAATCCCGGGCCTTCTGGTACTCGGTCATAAGGAGACAAGCCTGCCCAAAGGACAACGTGTTACAAGCACGCTTCAGGAAAGAGCACCGCGGCAGTAACACAGCTGACCGCCACTGCGGCCGTTCCTCGAGCATTCCGTCCCAGGTCCCTGCCCTCCCGCTCACCTGTCCACAGCGGAAGAGGGCCTTGGCATTCTTTTGGTCAATGATCAGAGCCTGCTCTCCATAGCGCAGGGCCATGGTGGGGCGCTCCAGTTTCAGGTAAGTAAAGGACAGATTGAGGAAAACAAGCAGCTTGGCGGTCTCCACCAAGTGCTGCTCTTCAGCGGGTGCTGTTCGCCGGCGGAGGAGCATCAAGGCCTGTGGAAAGGAAGAGACAGGTGGTCGAGAGAAGGTGGTCTTATGTACAGCAAACCCTAAGAATACACAAACACACACACACACACTCAGAGCTAAAAAATGGGTTCACAAAGTTGCAAAACACAAGATCAACACATGAGTCAGTTGTATTTCTTTAATAATCCAAAAAGGAAATTAAGAAAACAGCTCTTTATAACAGCACCGAAAAGAATAAAATGAGTGGCAATAAATTTAAAGTGCAACACTTATAAACTGAAAAATATAAAACTTTGTTGAAAGAAATTAAAGATCTAAATAAATGGAAAGACAGTTCATGTTCACAGATCAAAACACCTAATTCTGTTAAGACAGCAATAGTGCCCAAATTATTCTACATTTTCAATTCAACTACTGCCAAAATTTCAACTGCCTTTTTTGAAAAAATGGTCAAGCTGATCTGAAAATTCATATGGAAATTCACGGGATCCTAAAACAGCCAAAACAACACTTAAAAAAGGCGGGGTAAAGGCAGGTGGTCAGAGAGAGAACAAAATTGAAAGACTCACACTCTCTAATTGCAGAACTTACTACCAAGCCAGTGTGGTACCCATAAAGACAGACACATATCAATAGAACAGAACCAGCAAGGCAGATGGAGAGTCCAGGAACAAACCTATGTACATCTAGAATCAACTATTAACAAGGTGCCAACACCACTCAATGGAGAAAGAGTAACCTTTCAGCAGGTGGTGCTGTGATAAATGGATGTCGACAAGCAAGAGGATGAAGCTGACTCCTACCTCAGACAACGTACAATTAACTCAAAATGGACCACAGACCTAAAGCTAAGAGCTCAACTGTAAGCAAGACTCTTAGAGGAAAACACGGGTGTAAACCTTTGCAGCCTCAGATAAATCATGACACTGAAGGCACAAATACCTAGAGAATAAATTACCGGGACTTCATCAAAATTAAAAGCTTTTGTGCTTCAAAGAACACTATCAAGAAAATGAAAGAACAAAATGACTGAAGGTTGACTGATGTTTAAGAAAAATCATTATAACAAGCAGTTACCGGTTTCAGTTGACAACATATAACAATTTACTGCTGTCACTGTCCATGCCTTCAGATAATTTATTTTGACTTTTGAGTAAAAAGACATCTTCTTCTTTTCAGGAATATACAAAAGTAAAATAACAACCACAGGATAGGAGAAAATATTTCCAAATCACATTTGATAAGGGTTTAGTATCCAGAATAAAGAACTTTTACAACTCCACAATAAAGACAAATTTAAAACGGGCAAAGGATCTAAATAAACATTTCTCCTAGGAAGACACACAAATAGCTTATAAGCATATGAAAAGACACCCAACATCATTAGTCATCAGGGAAATGCAAAATCACAATGACATACCACTTCACACCCACTAGGATGTCTGTAATTTTAAAAAACGGAAGGTAAGTGTTGGTGAGGATGTGGCGTAACTGGGAGCCTTGTATTGTTGGTAGGAATGTGAAAAGTGGTAGCCACCATGGAAAACAATTTGGCAGTACTTCAAAAAGATTCACCATGTGACCCAGCAATTGCGCTCCTAGCTATGTACCCCAAAGAACTGGAAACATCAGTCTACACACAAAAACTGGTGAACAAATGTTCTTAGAAACATTATTCACAACAACCAAAAAGTGGAAACAACCCAAACGTCCTCCAACTGATGAACACATACACAAAAGGCAGTGAGATCCCCACGGACTACAGCCAACAGGCGCAGGCTGCCAGGCTCCTCTGTCCATGGAACTCGCCAGGCAAGAACACTGGAGGGGGAAGCCATTCCTTTCCTCAAGTAAAAGCAATTTCTGACCCAGAGATCAAACCTGGGTGTCCCACACTGAGGGCAGTGTCTTTACTATCTGAGCCACCAGGGAAGCCCCAGTAAGATCCACACAACAGAGTATGTTATTCATCTATAAAAATGAATGAAATACTAATACATGCTACAGCATGGATAAAACTTGAAACATTATGCTAAGTGAAAGGAGTCAGACAGAAAAGGATAAATATTGTTATTATTCCACTTACATGAGTGCCCATAACAGATAAATTCATAGAGACAGAAAATAGAATAGAGGTTACCAGAAGCTGGGGGCAGGAGAAGTGGGAGTTACTGTTTACTGGATAAAGAACTTCTGTTTGAGATGATGAAAAAGTTCTGCAACAGGCAGTGGTGATGGTTGCACAACATTCTGAATGTACTTAATGCCACAGGGTTGTATACCTAAAAGTGCTTAAAATGGTAAAATTTATGTTTGACAAATTTTACCACAATTTAAAAAATAAGTTTTTTTTAAAAGGAATAAACTGCTAATACATGCTACAACATAGATAAACTCTGAAAGCATTCTGCTTCCTGAAAGAAGCCAAAGAATCACATGCTTCATAATTCTATTTACATGTAATATCCCAGATAAACAAATACAAAGAAAGAGTAAAACAGGGATCATCGGGGGTGTAAGAGGGAATGGTAACTGCTCACAGGTTTCTTTTTGGGGTGATGGAATGTTCCAGAATTTGGCAGTGGTAATGGCTGCACAACCTTGCGAATAAACTAAGAATTACTGAACTGTACACTTAAAAGTGTGAATCTTATGCTACATGAATTATAGTTCAACAATAGTGAACAATAAATGGTTCTGGGAAAACTGGACAGCTACAGGCAAAAGAATCAAACTGGGCTACTTACTCAGACCACATACAATTTCAAGATTTAAAACATAGGCTGTGAGCTGTGCTCAATTGTGTCTAACTCTTTGCAACCCTATGAACTGTAGCCTGCCAGGCTCCTCTGTCCATGGGATTCTCCAGGCAAGAATACTGGAGTGGGTTGCCATGCCCTCCTCCAGGGGATCTTCCCAACCCTGGAATCAAACCCAGGTCTCCCTGCATTGCAGGCGGATTCTTTTCCATCTGGGCCACCAGGGAAGCCCTTAAAATATAAGGCCTGAAACAAAAAAACTTTTAGAAGAAAACACAGACAGCATGCTCTCTGACACCCATGTTAGGAATACTTTTTTGGATATGTCTCTTCTGGCTGAGGAAACAAAAGCAAAAATAAACAAATGGAACTACATCAAATTAAAAAGCTCCTGCATAGCAGAGGAAACTATCAACAAAAAGGAAAGGCCACCAATGAATGGGAGAAGATATCCGCCAAACAATATGTCCAATATGGGGTTATTATCCAAAATATTCAAAGAACTCATACAACCTAACATAAAAAAATACACAACTGATTGAAAGATAGGCAGAGGATCCAAGCAGACATTTTTCCGAAGGAGATACACACACAGCCAGGAAGCACATGAAAAGATGCTCAACAGCACCAATCATCAGGAAAATGCAAATCAAGCCACAGTAAGGTGTCACCTCACACCTGTCAGAATGGCTATTATCAAAAAGACAGCAAACAGCCAGGAAGAATGTGGAGAAAAGAAAACCCTTGGGCACTGTTGGCAAGAATATAAATTGATGCAGCCACTATAGAAAACAGTATGGTTACTCAAAAAATTAAACACAGAATTACTATATGATCCAGCATTCCACTCCTGGGTATTTGTCCAAAGAAAACAAACACACTAATTTGAAAAAACACATACACCCTTTGTTGACTGAAGCATTATTTACAGTAGCCAGAGCCGACTCATTGGAAAAGATTCTGATGCTGGGAAAGATTGAGTGTGGGGAAGAGGAGGAGGTGACAGAGGATGAGACGGTTGGACGGCATCACCAACTCAATGGACATGAGTTTGAGCAAATTCCGGGAGTTGATGATGGATAGGGAGGCCTGGCATGCTGCAGTCCATGGGGCCTTGAGTCAGAAACCACTTAGTTACTGAACACCACCACCAAAGTGCCCAACAATAGATGACTATTTAAAGATGTGGTACATATACATAATGGAATATTATTGAGCCATAAGATAGAACAAAACCTTGCCATCTGTAACAACACGAATGGTCATAGATGGTATTCTGCTAAGAGAAAGAGTCAGAGAAAGAGAATGTGTATTTCCCTCCTTTTCCAACAGAGCCTCCATTTCATACAAAGCAGCAACGTACTAATTAAACCATACTCTCCAGCTTCCTGTCTGCATACAGCTAAGGGCAAATGGACATTCACCACGGGATATCATGAGAAGACGGGGTAGGAGAAATTCTGGAAAGCTTGTAATATGAATACACACACCAGACTCTTCTTCCATCCCTTCTTCCTGCCCAGATGACCACATGATGCTGCAGGTTGAACTACCATCTTGAGAAGGAAAAAGACAACAAAGACATGCTTAAGGGCAGCTGATCAGAGACCTCTGGAACGTACCCTGATGGCTTTGTGGAACAGCTGTTTATGCTGGCCTTGAAGCGCCTCCCTTCTTGTGAGAAAAATTACATCACTAGTTTATTTGAAAAACTTTTTCAGGATTTTGTGGTTCACAGCTGAATGCAAAGCCTCAATGTTTAGGCTCACTACACAAATGAGACAAAAATCAGAAAGCTTCTAAACTTTATCCTGTTTGCCTCTATAGCCTAGGGGGCAGAGTTGGGCACACAGAAAGTACTCATAATATTCATGAATGTGTTACAAAGCAAAGAGCGGATTCCTGTCAGCAGAACCTCCATAGGAAGCCAAATCACAATCAGAAGCTTGGCAAGAATGGAGTTAGATTCAGATGAATGTCCACTGTCAGAGAGACAGGAAATGAACATGGCAAATGGGGTAGAGAAGTCAGTTGGTAGAGGGCCCAAAACTAGAAAGAGAATTAAAAAAATTTTTTATTGAAATACACAGTCAAGTGTAAAAGCAAGCATCCAGCTTGATGAACGATCACAACCTGAACACACTCATGTAAACCATATCCGTATTCAAACATTACCAGGTTCCCCTAAACCCTGCGTCCCCTCTCCCAGTTTTTAGCCCTCTGGCATGAGGATTTTTAGGTAAGATTTTTCTTAACAGTTGTAGGTGAGAAGAAGGGACAGAGATAAAGTCTCTCCCTCTTAAAGAAAGAAGTTTCCAGGGTCTAAACTTACACTCTGAAGCAGTCTTACCCGTTTATATCTCATTTTGGCATCATAGAAATGATTCTGGCGGAAAAGGTAGTTGCCAAACTCCCGTTCAGTAGCTGCCACCTTTAGGACCTTCTCAAGTGGAAACTGACCCTGTTGCTCCTAAGGATCAAAGACAAGGACGTCAGCAAGGAGACTGAAAGCCCCACGGCCACGCCAGCAAGGAGGCCGAAAGCCCCACGGCCACGCCAGCAAGGAGGCCGAAAGCCCCACGGCCACGCCAGCAAGGAGGCCGAAAGCCCCACGGCCACGCCAGTGTCGCCACAGCTGTTAGGGCTGTTCCTCCAGACTGTGACCTCTGCTGCCGCGGATGTGCCGCGCTCCGGGCTAGGGGCCTGGGTAGGAGTCATCTCTGAACCCCGACAGAAGCCACAGCGGGCAGCCGTCATTACTGCTGTTTCACGGATGAGGGCCAAATGGAAGTCCACTAGTTTAGTCCTACCCAGAGAGGCTCCCTAAAGACGAGTTCCTCATAGAATTAGAAACTGATGGAACTTGCCAAGCACAAAGGTCAGGTCTCATGACAACCACTCATCCGGCAAGCATTTGACAGTCTTGGTCTGCCCAGAGCTCCGCTCGTCTTTCCAACCATGATCCTCTACCCTGGGTACACATCAGAATCACCAGTGGAGCCTCTTTTTAAACAGACGTCCTAGGCCCACCCCCAAAGATTCTAAATCAGCACATAAGAGGGGGGACCCAGGTTATCTGCAAGAACCTCTGTTTTGTGAAAAGATGAGAAAAAGGAAGTGTCTCTCCCTTGTGGTGGTGACAGTTTAGCCAGGGAGACACCATATAGAGATGTGAACCTGGGGAGGATATCTAAGGCCACGTGTACAGCCAGGCTGAGACAGCAGGACACGGAGCACACTGCTGATGATTAGAAGCCCTGTCTGTACGGGACGAGTTACTTGTGAGGCTACAGAGGAAAGGCAGTTTTAAAGTTGTGTTAAGAGAGAAACCATCCATCCCAGTTTACACCCAGTGTCCTCGTATCCCATTAGTTAGTAGTCCCTTTCTCTCTTAAGGGTCAAGGTTGGACAACAAATTACATAGTCAACCTAGGTATGAGCTACCAATGCTTGACTTGCTGAAAACCAAACAAAACTGAGAAGCAAATACTGTCTTTCAGGGAGACCTAGGCAAATGGTGACAAAGGTCAGCTCAACCTGCTGGTCCGTAACAAACCCCTGGCCGAGCACATCAGAGCCAGCAGCACTCAAGACAGACACACACTAGCGAGTGGTAAGATACTCCTCCCCTCCACCTCTCCACACCAGACCCTTGGCCAGACCCTGGGGCTGACGATCATCAGTGGGGTAGGATAATTACCTGAAACCCAAACCCATCTCTCTATCAAAGTGCTAACATCTGTGCTCCAGAACTTACGGCCGAGAGGGCACAAAACTTGTCCGACTCAGCAGAGTCCAGGAAGTCAAGCAACTCGATCTCAAACAAGACGGTGGTGTTTGGGGGGATCAGGGGAGGGCAGCCCAGCGTTCCGTAGGCATAGGTGGGTTTGAACAGGAACCTGGCCAGCTCCCCTCTCCGCATGCTCAGAAGGCCCAGCTCCATGCCCCACAGTGTGATATCTGGAAGAAGTGACAAAAAACGCGGTGGAAGCTGGCCCAGTGCCTCCCAGTGCCTCCCCCTTCACATCCACATTTCTTCGAGAGGTATCCCCAAGCCTTCTGCGTTGTCATCCCAAATCACTACCACCCACAGACTCCTCCAGCCTCTGCAGCGTCCGGGCCTCGACATCTCTGTTCACGTAGTTCCTTCTTCCTACAATGTTGTTCTCCTACCCCCTCATGCCCAGCTTCTACTCTGAGCGAACTCTTATTCAAACTTTAGGGCTCATTTCAAATGCCCAATCTGACGTGAAGTATTCCCAGCTGAAATGAACTGTGCCTCCATTAAGCATTCCCACCAAACACTGCTTATACCTCCCCATATTTCACCAGGTTAGTTGTCTGGTGTGTGTCAATCTCTATGACACTGGCCCCAGCCTTTCTGACCGTATGAGTACATCCTTTCTTTTCACTCTGCCTTGTGGAACAGTCATTCAACAAACATCTTTATAATAAACAAAGAAGTATGTAGCACCCCTGATTATGTCACGAATGCAAAGATAACCCTGCCAGGGAAGCCAAATACCTAGGTCTCAGAGGAGAATGTGGAAGACAACATGGCTGGTTTAGCAAAACCCAGCCTCAGAAAAACCAACTCAAGTGCTCTGGAAAGTTTTCCGGTCCTCAGGCACTGCCCTGCATCAGTTCCCCCAAGCAACTTCTTTTTTCCCAGCTTCTTATCTGAACTTGGGCTTCCTGGTGGCTCAGATGGCAAAGAATCTGCCTGCATTGCAGGAGACTTGGGTTCAATCCCTGGGTGGGAAAGATCCCCTGGAGAAGGGAATAGCAAACCACTCCAGTACTCTTGCCTGGAGAATTCCATGGACAGAGGAACCTGGAGGTCCAAGAAGTCACAGAGTCTGATAGGACTGAGCCCCCAACACTTTCATTTTCATCTGAACTTACCCTCTCCAAGTTTCATGAGCCGAGGAGTTTTCCTAAAGCAATTAGAATCAAAAGGCTTGTCCATGTGCTCCAGATATCCAGAATATTTCACTAGGAAAGAGGAAAGACACTCATGCTTCTATATCAAATCTCTTGGTCACACAGAAACAATATTAAGTACCTTAAACTAGGCCCCCACCCCATGATTGGAAAAAGCTTTGCTCAACGTTTATATGCATGCCCTTTGGCGGTGTGGCTCAAGAGCTGGGCTGGTGGGCCTCCCAGAGCCCCTGTTCATGGCCATCTCACGCAAAGGGGTAATGGGTTCCCTCGCTTATCCCTTGAAACCCAGCAATCGGGCATCACTAGCCTCCCAAGGACAGACGGCACCCGGGCCCGGCCGCCATACATACCAAGCACGGAAGCGTCCGGTGTCACCAGCTCTCCAGCTCCCTCTCGAATGACATCTTTCAGCACGCCCCGGTCCCCCGAAATGTCCAGCATCCTTTGACTTAAGTGCTGGTACGGAGACTTATGGGGGATAAAACACACCACCTCAGAGCCCTGGACGGGCACCCTGACTCTGGCGGCTCCAACCAACCCCTACTCCCCAGCGCCCGGGCCCTCACCTGGCTGGGGGAGTCGTCCCTTTGCAGGACTCCCGGATTCCGGGCGCTGCCCCCCATTTCCCCACCGCCTGCCCCCAGGCCCCGCCGCCCTATGCCCCACAGCGACGCGCTCGCCCTTTTATACCCGGTCTTCCGCGTCCAACCGTGGCAATCCGTTCAGGGGCCGCGAGGAGACGTTCATCGCTCAGCTCCAACCGCCGCCAACCGCCAGTGGGCGCTCGGGGAGTGCGCCAAACCACGTGTGCGGACGTCCGGCAGGTCACGTGATGAGGCACGTGGCGGGAGTGGGGGTGGGGCACGCACAGAGCCGGATCCCGCGCTACTTGAGGCCGCGTGGGGCATGATGGGACACGTGGTGCGCCACGGGACACGTGGCGCACCACGGGACATGAGGCAGGGGCGCGGGAAGCGTGACGCAGCTTGTGGCGAGGGTACAGTGAATGGGACGTTCAGGTGCTGAGATCAGCCGCCAGGTACGTGATGGCCAAGCTGCGGACACATGGACGGCGGGACACGGTGCAGAGGACAAGGCTTCAGACGCGGGGTGGGGGTAGGGGCTGCTGGAACGGCCAGGACCACCGACGTGGGTGATTTCAACCCTCCCTTGTTCTCCTTCCCGCTCCAGGGACCCATAAGAGGCGGACAGCTAAAGTCAAACTGCCCAGTTCCTGCAAAAGCAAGGTGATGCTGGGCCTGCCCCTGGCCATCAGCAAGTCTGCTACACCTGTGTACTCCTGGTACAAAGGAAGAATGGCCCGGGATCCTACCCTTCCCGACCTGTTCCTTACTTCCTCCCACTTTTGCCAAGTTGAGGACTGGACGCCATTGGGCTTCCCATCTCTCCTGCACCCATCTTGCCTTGACCACTGGATCATTTCATTTTGCTTAGGTGTGTCCCTAAATCCCCCACCTAAAAACAAACAGGTCTCTCTTTGTCCTAAATTTCCCTCCTGCTACAGGTGGTCTCATTTCTCCTCTTCCAGGGAAAAACTTCTCAAAAGGGTTGCTGCAAAGGCTTTCTCAACTATTCTGTCTCCACCTCCTTACTCTTCATTTTCTTTTCCACTCCAATACCACTTTCCCGGGGTTCAGGCCACCATTCACTCTTGTTGTTGCCAAATCTCTTAGATTCTTCTTTGTCCTGCAGTTACTGGACTCTAATTAGCATTTGATGAAGCTGACCTGACCTTTAACTGCCTCTTTTCTTTTGGCTTCTGTATTTGTTGTTGTGTTTTTTTTTTTTTTTTTGCTTCTTGTAACAAATGACCACAAAAGGAACTGTTTTAAGCAATACATTTATTATCTCACAGGTCTGGTGGTAGAAGTCTGACACCAGTCTTGCTGGGCTAAGATGGAGGCATTAACCTCCCTCGAGGCTTTGGGAAAGAATCCACTTCAAAGCCCATTCAGATCATTGGCTTCCAGGTCCCTGAAGCTCTTGGCTCGAGGTCCCTGTGTCCTTGCTGTCAGCCAACAGTGACCCTTACTTTTTAGAGGCTACTCTGTGGTCCTTGCACGTGCCCCTACATCTCAAGAGTCAGCGACAGCTTGCTGATTCCTTCTCAGGCTGGGAGGGAATATTACCTGGTTGATGTTTTTATAAACTTGCCTCCTCTCCTTAATCTGTCTCTGACTCCAGCCAGGGCAAGTTCTATGTTAAGGGGCAATATGATTAGGTTGGACCCACTGTGATAATTCAGCTTGGTGACTGTAATTATTACATCTTCAAAGTCCCTTTTGCCATCTAAGGAAGCATATTCACAGATCCTAAGAATTAGGGCATGGACATCCAGTGGGTTTTGCTGGTGGCTCAGATGGTAAAGAATCAGCCTGCAATGCAGGAGACCCAGGTTTGATTTCTAGGTCGGGAAGATACCCTGGAGGAGGAGATCTTGCCTAGAGGATTCCACAGACAGAGGGGCCTAGCGGGCTACCATGGGGTTGCAAAGAGTTGGACATGGCTGAGCGACTAACCCACACATGTCCTTTTGGCAGTCATTCTTCCTGCCACACTTCCTGGTCACCACACACTCCTGATTTTTCTCCTATCAGCCTGGCTGTTCCTTCTCAGTCATCCTCCTGTTCCTGATCTCTAAACATTAGCAGTCACAGGGCCCTGTCTGTGGGCCCCTGCCCTTCTCAATTCCCAATCCCCGAGAGCCCAACCATTCCCACAGGTTTACATATGTGATACGCCTGGCCAGCCTAGAGCCTCCCTGGGCGCCGGGGCTCCAGGTGTTTTGAGTCAAATTGACTTTTCCAGTGGCTCTCAAAGTGAAGTGCTTAGACTAGCAGCAGCAGTGTTGCCTGGGAACATTTGAAAATTAGGACAAAACTGGGTCTGTCCCCGTACTCCTGAGTCGGCATCTCTGGAGCCGGGTCGAGAAGCCTCTGTTATAACAAGCCCTGAGGAATGACTGAGTGGCTTCACTTCACTTCAGGTGATTCTTAGGTCTACTGAAGTCTGCAGACCGCTGGGCTACTTAGTCACTCCACCTGGTTGTTCTTAGGCATCTGACTCTGGCATCTGTCTTTTTCACCTTGATCTTGGCATCACTGTCCATCCACCTAGGTGCTCTAGTCACTATGATCCATATCTACACAGTGGCCAGAGTGATCTTTAAAAAATATAAATCAGATCATATTCCCTTGCTTTAAACCCAACAATAGCTCCCACCGCCCTTGAAATTAAATCCAAACCTTTGTCCCGGTCTACCAGGCCCTCCCTGCCAGCCCCTCTGACCTCATCTTCTGGTGTTCCGTCTGACTTACTGTGATCCAGCTCCCCAAGCCTCCTCTCTGGTGGATCTCGTAAATACAGTTGACCTTTGAACAACAGGGATGTGAACCGCAAGTGTCCAGTTATACGGGGATACTTTTCAACAGTGAATACTAGAGTATTGCACCACCCGTACTGAGCTCTTTCCAGCCTCAGGTCCTTTGCACTTGTGCCCCCTTTGCCTGAGGTACATTGTACCTCACAGTCCTGCCGCCCGATCTGCCTCTTATCACACTGTTTACTTCCTGCAAAGCATTTAACACTATTCTATTATCTCATTTATTTGTGACCTGCCCCTATGTATTATAAACTCCACAAGGACAGAAGCTTTGTCTTGTTTTCTGTGTTTGATACTCAGTTGTGACTTTTTGCGACCCCGTGGACTGTAGCCCACCAGGCCCGTTGATCCATGGGATTTCCCAGGCAAGAATTCTGGAGTAGGTTGCTGTTTTCTTCTCCAGGGAATCTTCCCAACCCAGGGATCAAACCCGGGTCTCCTGCATTACAGGCAGATTCTTTACCGTCTGAGCCACCCAGTGCAGTGCTCGACATAGGAGGTTCGCAATAAATATTTGTTGAATACAATAGAATTGAGTCTCTACCTACCTATACCAGGCCTTGGTCTAGCTTGTCACTGAGGAAGCAGCCCTACCCCTCCTGCAGACATGAGTGCTTAGACTTGCAGTGGTGACAGCATGTTGGTTCAGAGATCCTTGTTTCTTAATGCCCACCTCTGTCTTGTCCATTCAGTGATTTCCCACCCCACTCCTATGAAATGCATAATATAGTGTGACCGAAATATTTATTGACTGTTTGACAAATATTTAGAAAATATTTATCTTTCTAAACCATTGAAAGACTTTTAATGTTTTTTATTGAAGGATAATTGCTTTACAAAATTTTGTTGTTTTCTGTCAAACCTCAACCTGAATCAGCCATCAGTTCAGTTCAGTTCAGTCGCTCAGTTGTGTCTGACTCTTTGTTACCCCATGAATCGCAGCACGCCAGGCCTCCCTGTCCATCACCAACTCCCAGAGTTTACTCAAACTCATGTCCATTGAGTCGGTGATGCCATCCAGCCATCTCATCCTCATAGGTATACATACATCCCCTCCCTTTTGAACCTCCCTGCCCATCCCACCCCTCTAGGTTGATACAGAGCCCATTTGAGTTTCCTGAGCTGTAGAGCAAATTCCCGTTGGTGATCTATTTTACATATGGTAATGTAAGTTTCCATGTGATAATGTAAGTTTCCAGGTGACTCTTTCCACACATCTCACCCTCTCCTCCCGTCTCCGCATGTCCATAACTCTGTTCTCTATGTCCATTTCTCCACTGCTGCCCTGTAAGTAAATTCTTCAGTACCGTTTTTCTAGATTCTGTATATATGTGATAGAATACGATATTTATCCTTCTCTTTCTGACTTAATTCACTCTATATAATAGGTTCTAGGTTCATCTACCTCTTCAGAACTGACTCAAATGTGTTCCGTTTATGGCTGAGTAATATTCCATTGTGTATATGTACCACAACTTATTTATCCATTCATCTGTCGATGGACATCTAGGTTGCTTCCATGTTCTAGCTATTGTAAATAGTGCTGCAGTGAACAATGGGATACATGTGTCTTTCTCAGGAAACCCAGGAGTGGGATTGCTGGGTCATATGGTGGTTTTATTCCTAGTTTTTTAAGGAATCTCCATACTGTCTTCCATCGTGGCTGTCAATTTACATTCCCACCAATGGTGCAAGAGCATTCCCTTTTCTCCACACCCTCTCCAGCGTTTATTGTTTGTAGACTTTTTGATGACGGCCATTCTGGCTGGCTTCCCTGGTGGCTCAGATGGTAAGGTGTCTGCCTGCAGTGTGGGAGACCTGGGTTTAATCCCTGAGTCGGGAAGATCCCCTGGAGAAGGAAATGGCAACCCACTCCAGTACTCTTGCCTGGAAAACTCCATGGACTGAGGAACCTGGCAGTCTGCAGTCCACGGGGTCACAAAGAGTTGGACACGACTGAGCGACTTCACTTTATCAACTTTATTCTGAGTGGTGTGAGGTGATACCACATTATAGTTTTGATTTTCATTTCTATAGTAATGAATGATGTTGAGCATCCTTTTATGTGTTTGTTAGCCATCTGTATGTCTTTGGAGAAAAGTCTGTTTAGGTCTTTTTCCCACTTTCTGATGGGTTGTTTGTTTTTCTGGCATTGAGTTGTATGAGCTGCTTGTATATTTTGGAAATTAATCCTTTGTCAGTTGTTTCATTTGCTATTATTTTTTTCCCATTCTGAGGGTTGTCTTTTCACCTTGCTTATAGTTTCCTTTGCTGTGCAAAAGCTTTTAAGTTTAATCAGGTCCCACTTGTTTACTTTTGTTTTTATTTCCATTAGTCTAGGAGGTGGGTTATAGAGGATCTTGCTTTGATTTATGTCGAGTGTTCTGCCTATGTTTTCCTCTAAGAGTTTTATAGTTTCTGGTCTTACATTTTGGTCTTTAATCCATTTTGAGTTTATCTTTGTGTTAAACCATTGAAAGATATTAATAAAAATGTATTAAAATGTATTTAATAAAAATAAAAAACCTAATAATTCAATATATTGACTAAAAACTTGGACACAAAAGAATATATAGGTAATTCTGTTTATTTGAAATTCAAAACCAGGCAGGGGATTTTCCTGGTGGTCCAGTGGCTAAGGCTCTGAGTTCCCAATACAGGGGGCCCAGGTTTGATCCCTGGTCAGGGAACTAGATCCCACATGCCATAACTAAGACCCGGCATAGCCAAAAAAAAAAAAAAAAGGGAAGCCAGGCCACATTAATCTATGATGATATAAGTCAGGATAGCGGCTCCCTTTGTTAGGGGTTCTGACTCGGGGACATGTGATAAAGCCTCTGGGTGCTAGAAATGTTCTGTATTTTGATCTTTTTTAAAAAATTGTTTTATCAGTTTATTATAAAGGATATAAATGAATAGCCAGATGAAGAGGTACTTAGGGCGAGATCCAGGAGAGTCCAGAGCACAGGTACTTGGGTTCCCACGGAGCTGGGGTGCAGCACCCTCCCAGAATCCAGAACCTTCTCTGTATCTGTTTTTTTAAATTAATTACTTTGTTTGTTTTTGTTGTTCTGGGCCTTCGTTGCTCCTCATGGGCTTTCTCTAGTTGTGGTGAGCAGGGGCTGCTCTTCATCGTGGTGCCCGAGTTTCTCATCACGGTGGCCTCTCGTTGCGGGCAGAGCACAGGCGCGAGGGTGTGCGGGCTTAGTAGTTGTGGCTCATGGGCTTAGTTGCTCCATGATACGTGGAATCTTCCCAGCCCAGGGTTTGAACCCATGTCCCCTGCATTGGCAGGCAGACCCCTATCCACTGTAGCACCAGGGAAGTCCGGTCCTCTGTATCTTGACCTTGAGGGTGCATGCACATCTATAAATTGTACTTCAAGCATATGGTTAACATTTGTGCACTTTATAGAAGGTATACGTCAATTTTAAAATCTAGGTAAGCAAGAACGTCTTCAGAGTTCTGGAGAGAGAGAGGGAGAGATGGAGATTCAGAGAGAAGTGTGTCACAGCACGAGTCCACTCCCTTTTGGGGTCTGTGAGGTGTGAACGGGCACCCGGCCCCTCTGTCTCTGACCCGCCCCCCCCAGGCCTGGCCAAGGTGAGCACCTGAGTGCCGCCCTTATCAGGGCCGGCCGAGCAGGGGCTCCCTCCCTAGTCCCGTGATGTGGCCCAGCCTCCACCTGATTCTCAGTGACCTTGAGGCATGGGCATTTCTGGGAAAGGGGAGGAGGAGGAGGGCAGAGACTAGGTAGAACAGGTGTCCAGCTGTGATCCTAGGTCTCTGCACCTGCCGTCCCATCCTGGGGAGAAGAGGAGGCTGAGCGGATCGAGTCAGTGTTGCTGGTGTGAGGCCCCGCTGGAGGGCGCGGAGGATCCGGAGAGGCAGTGCGGGGTTCTCCCTGGGGCCACTGCCGCCTTCTGGTAAGATGCTGCTCTCTCAGTCCCCATCGGCTTTTACAGGGGAGCAGGGTGGGAGCCCCGGAGAAAGCCCCAAGGTCCCAGCTCCTGGACAGTATTTTCTAAGACAGGGCTCTACTTCAGAATGGCCTGGGGGATGTCTCTTGTAAGCACAGATTTCTGGAGCTCACTGGAGATATGTGATGGCATGACTCAGGAAGTCTGTTGTAACTGTGCTTCCACCAGCTGTTCGCCGGTTTGAGAACTGATCTAGAGCCTGGGAAAGACCTTGGCTTGTTTCTGCTGCCCCATTCTAGGTCAGGACGCCCGCTGGGATGGAGCTTGCATTGTTGCTGTCACTTCAGGGGACCCTGCAGGTGGCCCCTTTCATGTTCACCTCCAAATCTGAGTTTAAAATGCAGGCACCTGGACCTCCAAGTGACCGCTGTTTTCATTTAAGCCCTTTGATTTAAAGATGGGAAAACAGACCCAAGGTCATCGTGGGTCAGGGCTGGAATTGAAGGCTGGCGTCCTCAACAGCCTCTCCTTTCAGGGCCCTTGGGGCTGGGGGCCAAAGGAGTGGAGGGAGCCAGCTCCAGGCGGGCCGCCCTGGGCCCCCGCGGGCGCCGTGGATGGCGTGGCAGGTGAGCGTGCCCGAGCTGGAGGACCGCCTGCAGTGCCCCATGTGCCTGGAGGTCTTCAAGGAGCCCCTGATGCTGCAGTGCGGCCACTCCTACTGCAAGGGCTGCCTGGTGGCCCTGTCCCGCCACCTGGCCTCGGAGCTGCGCTGCCCCGTGTGCCGGCGGGAAGTGGACTACAGCAGCTCCCCGCCCAACGTCTCCCTGGCCAAGGTGATCGAAGCCCTGCAGCTCCCCGGGGATCCGGAGCCCCAGGTGTGCGTGCACCACCGGAACCCCCTCAGCCTCTTCTGCGAGAAGGACCAGGAGCTCATCTGCGGCCTCTGTGGCCTGCTGGGCGCCCACCAGCACCACCGGGTCACGCCCGTCTCCACTGTTTACAGCCGCATGAAGGTGGGCAGGGAGGCCGCTGGGGGTGGCAGGCAGGAGAGGGGCAGGGCCGCCCCGGGGGACACGGAGGCCGATCCTGCACCCTTGGCGTCATTACGTGGCACATGGGTGAGGGCCAGCCCCATTCCGATCACCTTTTGAATAGTGGTTCCAGTCTCCAGGTGCTGGGGCTTAGGTGATGCACAGGATGGAGGGCCACCTGTATCACCAGCTACTGCCCCCCACCTCTAGCTTTATTTTTCTCTGCCACTTTCCTTAGGTTCTTGAGCCCTTCAGGGACTTCACTCTGAGGCAGGTGAGGGCAGGGACTTAGTTTCATCCCCCGGGATGTTTCCGCACCTAGAGCTGTGCCAAGCAGGTAGTAAGTGTCCTAAAGGTCTTTGTGGAATCAATGGATTCCTGCCCTCATGGACCCTTGCCTCAGAACTAGCGGATCACTGTTTTGAGATGAATAATAATAATGATATCATCTTAAGTTAGTCTGTTGATCTGAGGTTTATGAAGAGTGGGGTTATTGTTGTATTTATAAGTGAGGAAGCAGGCTCAGAAAACGCGCGAGGGTCTTGGTCAAGATCATGCAGTTTGTCAGTGGCAGAGCTAGGATTCAAACCAAGGCCAGTTTTTCATCCCCCCAGGCAACCGATCAAGGAAGGGCAGAAAGGCTCTTGGAGGTAAACTGTCATAGGGTACCTGGCTTGGAGTTTGGCGGTGGGGACAGGGGGAGTAAGGACCAGGAATGACAAAGTTCAAGAGACGAGGGTGGGGGCGGGGCAGGAAGAGGGAAGTGCATCACTGTGTGTAGGCAGAGGGGCCTCTGGAAGCTGCTCCCGGGATTTCCTGGCTGAGTGCTCTGGGCAGCCTTTCTTTGCCCCTTCGACCCTGGGAGACGAGTGGGAACGGAGCTCTAGTGTGTGCTCCGGGCAGCGCTGGTGTCCATGGTACAGTGGTGGGCAGGAAGCTCACCCCGCACCAGCACTCACAGTCTGGGGGTCTGACACCATCCTGTGTGCTGCTGTCGAGGTTCAGGACAGGCAGTGGTGAGCCCAGCTGGAACATGGCTCTTGCATGGTTTTGGGTGGTCAGGGAAGACTTCCTGGAGGAAGTGGACTGCTAAACTGAAACCTGAACCCTCAGGAGGACTTGAAGGGGAGGGTTATACTTGAAGCGTTCCAAGTATAAAAAGAGCATGGGCAAAAGACCAGGGGGCAAACAGCTTGGCACATTTGAGGAATTAGACATTATTCCATTCAGCTCAAGGGAGAGTGAGGTGGGAGTGAGGGGAGGCGAGCAGGGGCCAGCTCATGAAAAGGCCTGTGTGACATGAGAAGGGATTTGGGGTTTATTCAGACGACCAGTGTTGGAAATGTTTAAACAGTCATGATGTAGCCCAATCTCTCTGCCAGAGAGTAGACTGGAGAGTGAGGCTGGGAATAAGAGATTAGGTAACCTACATGCAGGTGGTCTTTGCAGTCTGAGGCGCAGAGAAGACTGACCAGGCGAGTCTGCAGGGTGATGGGGAAGACGCTGAGAAAGACGCTGGGGAAGCTCCCACCAGGAGCTTCGAGGCTTAAGATTTGGGTGGAGAACCCCGAAGGGGACAAAGAATCCACAGAGGACTCAGGAGCACTGGCTGCATGTGGTCTTCTGGAAATTGGAGGAACAGAGCATTTTGACAAGAAGGAAGTCACTTGTGTGAAATGTCAGCTCAGGATTGAAAAGAGCCAGTCAGGTTTTGCAGGAAGAGTTGGTTACCTTGGCAAGAGTAGTTTTAGGGGGCTGTGAAAGGAGGAAGCAAAATTGCAGTGCAGTGAAACTGAGTCCAGTTTTATGAGCAGAGGGCTGCCTGGCATAAAAGGAGACTTCCGCGAGCTTGTCGTCTCTGGCTTGGAGCTGGGAGGGTTGGACCCTAGTTTTTGGATGTGGGTTTTTGTGATATCAAGACTCCTCTCTGTGATACAACTAAATTCAGTTCCTTCATCAGATCTTTTTTTTTTTTTTTGACATGGACCATTTTTAAAGTCTTTATTGAATCTGTTACAATATTGCTTTTGTTTTATGTTTTGGTTTTTCGGCCATGAGGCATGTGGGATCTTAGCCCCCAGACCAGAGATCGAACCCACGCCACCTGCATTGGAAGGTGAAGTCTTAATCACTGGACTGCCAGGGAAGTCCCCTCAGATCTCTTTCATGCATTCCTGTTTCCTCCTGTGGATTGAGATCTTGAGATACTTTATTTGTGCGATCTGTTTCCACTTAGAGTGGCCCAGTTGATGAGAAAGAACTAGCACCATCCCTCTTTGCTTTGGGAGGGTTACTATTGCTGTGCCCTTCTCAGACTCCTATGAGCTCGGATGTCTTGTTATGAGAGCAAGGACTCTGTTCATTCATCTCCATGCTGGTTTTATTTTCTTCTCAGTTCCCTTCCGGAAAGGCTCTTGTAGCTGACTTCTGCTTGGGCACGATCCATGCAGGATCCTGCACGGTCCATGGGCACAGACCAGCTGGGCTCCCATCACGTCGTGCAGCCAGATGATGGTCTAGGTGGTTCTGGTGGACCCCTAAAGTGAGGCTGGATATGGGGCCAGGGCAGCCCAGAGAAGTGAGTTTATTGCAGCCTGGAGGCCCTAAATCCAGGCTGGGCCCAAGGCTGCTGGAGATGGATTCAGGTCTTCATAGGGAGGGAGGGGTCACCAGGTATAACCCGGGCCACTGCATACACTGTTGACTTCACTTGGGGCCAGCATTTTTGTGATAACTCTGATCAAATGTTCACTAATTCTGGACCTGCTGGTGCCCAGCAGGTTTACCAGGTGGGTACCCTACAGGCAGCATTCCATGCAGGGAGTGCTGACCTCAGATTGACAGTCGCCCTGCATGGATGTTGTCTGGTGACTTCTGGTGGCTATAACAACGTTTAGCGTCTCTGTCGGTGTCACAGAGGGGGATGACGAGGAGATCCTCCTCTGTCTGGGCAGTTGCTGCTGTTAGTGTGGAGTATTCTTGAATAGTCTTATCTGTTTGGGGGTTGAGGGTACCCAGGTAGCTCCCTGGTTCCACTGGGAGTGCTTGTGCTCGTGGGGCTGCCCCCTGCCCTGGCCACGGGAGCTGGGAGGGGGAAGGGGTCATGGCTCATGAGCCATGGCCCATTTGCCTCCAGGAGGAGCTAGCAGCCCTCATCTCCGACCTGAAGCAGGAGCAAAAGAAGGTGGATGAGCAAATGGCCAAACTGGTGAACAACAGGACTCGGATTGTGGTGAGTGCCCCTACCCTCGGCGCCCCCTGCCCGGGGCCAGCCGCCTCCCCTTCCCTTTACAGGAACCCGCGCCTCCCCTATAAAGCCAGAATTTCAAAGCATTCCAGGCGGGGTGGGAAAAAGCTCACAGGCTCCCGGGGGAATTCACCACAGTTGTCAGGGCTGTCTCCAAGTTGGCCTGTGTCCTCCATGTCCTTGGGACCGAGATAACTCAGCCCAGGTCCTGGAGGTAAACAGCTTAACGCGTGGGCATGACTGCCCGGCCCCTGCCACCTGTGTCTGTTTGACCTTGACAGCCTGTGTGATGCCCTCCTGGTACCTTCAGAGCGCAGGCATCGGGAGGCCTGCAGCCCTCAGGCGCTGACCGCCTTTCCTAAGTGAGGGGCCCTTGGGGCTGAGAGGGTGTGGAGCCCAGGCAATACAGGTAGTCATGAAACAGAGGCAGGAGACCAGCGTCCTTGAAAGTCAGTTCAGTGAATCTTCCTCACCCCGGGGAGGGAGATAGCATCACTCCGTCTGATGGAGGCGGAGTCACTGTGCTGAACTGGGCGCCAGGGGCCCAACCTCTGCCCTGCCACTGCTGCCCTCCCCCAGGGCTGCATCCGGGGACCCAGATGCAGTGTGAACACCCCGGCAGGAGTCAGCCCTCGGACTTGGGGATGAGGACCGAGAAGGGTCGGAAGGCCCCAGGAAGGCCTGAGCTGCCAGGCTCTGGGGACGCCGAGGTCAGCCTCGGCTCCTGCTTTGACCGGCCCCTCCCTGTCCCAGAACGAGTCCGATGTTTTCAGCTGGGTGATCCGGCGTGAGTTCCAGGAGCTCCACCACCTGGTGGATGAGGAGAAGGCCCGCTGCCTGGAGGGGGTGGAGGGCCACACCCGCGGCCTTGTGGCCTCCCTGGACATGCAGCTGGAGCAGGCCCGGGGCGCTCGGGAGCGGCTGGTCCAGGCCGCGAGTGTGCTGGAGCAGTTTGGCAATGAGAGTCACCATGAGTTCATCCGGGTGAGCGGACAAGGCCCCCATGTCCCCAAGAGCCTCCCCCTTCCTAACGGCTTCTGCACGGCCTCCTCGGTGCCCTAACCTGCCTCCCTCTTGTCTTCCAGAAGTACCACACCATGGCCTCCAGGTATTCCCCATGCACTTCCAGAGCCGCCTTTGGCCACGTTTATGAGCATCTCCCTGTTTTTTTTTTTTTTTTCTTTTTCCAATTTCCCTTAGTCTTAAGGACAGTTGGGTTAGAAGCATTGGCTTAAGTGAACGGCTAGAGGATCTGATTGGCTGAGTTTGGTTTCCACTCCAGCTGGAGCTAGGGGCAGGGTTCCCCTGATTCAGAGGCATGCTCTTCAAGCAGCGCATCAGAGCCACCTGGAGGGCTCTTTAACTGCAGATCCCTGGACCCCCGTCATCAGTTCTGAGTCAGCAGGTCTATGGAGAAGGTAATGGCAACCCACTCCAGTATTCTTGTCTGGAGAATCCTGTGGACAGAGGAGCCTGGTGGGCTGCTGTCCATGGGGTCGCATAGAGTCAGACACAACTGAAGTGACTTAGCAGCAGCAGCAGCAGCAGGTCTGGGGTGGGACCCAAGAAAACTTGCATTTCTAACAAGGCCCAGGTGATGTGGTGCTGCTGGTCCCAGACCTGCCCTTTGAGAGCTACTGATGTGGAGTGTTTCCGGGATGGAGGCAGGGCCCCAGAGAGCAGTTGGTGGGGGGACATGATGGGCCTCTCAAGTGCACGGTCTTCTGAGCGGGGACTCGGCTGGTTGGACCTGCACATGGATGACAAGGCTGGGGTACTTGGGTGAGTAGCTCCGTTGTCACTGTGAACCTTTGACCCCAGCCCAGAGCTCCAGCAGGCCCGACTCTCAGAAGGTGCCTTCAGCCCCATCTCCTTCAAGCCAGGCCTGCACCAGGCTGACATCAAGCTGACGGTGTGGAAAAGGCTTTTCCGAAAGGTTCTGCCAGGTGAGCCCCCCGGCCCAATCCTTCCATTATATGAGGCTGAAGGGAGGCTGGGGCAGCTGACAGTGAGGGCGCAGGGCTGCCCTTCCGCCAGCAGGGGGTGCTCAAGCTCAGCTCCATCTCTAAGTGGTGACTGGGTGAGTGGTGTAATTTCTGAGACTTGGGTTTCCCTTTTTTTTTTAAAAAAAATTTGGTTGCCCTGGGTCTTAGTTGCAGCTCATGGGATCTTTGAGCTGCAACCTGTGGGATCTAGTTCTCTGACCGTAGGTCAAACCCCTCCCCTCACCCCTGCATTGGGAGCTCAGAGCCTTAACTACTGGACTGGCAGAGAAGTCTCTTGAGCCTCAGTTTCGTCATCTATAGTCCCTGAACCTGTTTCTTAGTCTGTAAGGAGCTCACCTTGCTGGGCTGTGTGGTTTCTAAATAGATAAGTGCGATTTGTGTGCTCAGTCATGTCCAGCTCTTTGCAACCCCATGGACTGTAACCTGCCAGGCTCCTCTGTCCATGGGATTCTCCAGGCAAGAAAAGTGCAGTGAGTTGCCATTTCCTACTCCAGAGGATCTTCCTGACCCAGGGATCGAACCCAGGTCTCTTGCGTTGGCAGGCTAATTCCTTACCACCTGGGAGGGTGTGTGTAGTTTAGCGCTTAATAAATGGCAGCTGCTGCTTTGCCAAAAAATAACTCAGACATTTAACTCCTTCATTACTAGCACACGAGGGAAATCAGACTGATTTCACCCAACAAAGGCAAAAACAGGTTCGCTATAAGAGGAGGGGGGGGGGGGCTTCCCTGGTGATCCAGTGGCTGAGACTGTTCTCCCAATGTAGGAGGCCCGGGTTCAATCCCTGGTCAGGGAACTAGATCTCACATGCCACAGTTAAGACCCAGGGAAGGCAAATAAATCTATTTTAAGAAAAGGGAAGACAGGAGAGAGAAAAAAAGACCTGCAGATAATCTCTGAACCATGAACTTTGTTTGCACGTTTTGGATAGAGACTGGTCAGCTGACAGGGAGCACAGAGGTCGTTTGGTATAGTTTGTCCTTGACTGGGCTGCTGGCATACCCACAGAAGCCACTGCAGTTAGAATCTCCAGAAAACCTGGGGAGTGGAGCTGAGGCGCCCACGTGACAGGCTGTCTCTCAGATCCTTCCATCGGCACCTCCGCTTTAGGCAGAGTTTCTGGCTGGAACGCCTGGGCTCACCGTGGCCCATTCTCCACCCTTCAGGCATTGCTCGCTCCTTCAGAGAATTGGGATTGCCTGCTCTGGCTCCACCCTTGCCAGGCCCTGTCGACACAGGGATGAGGGACTCGGTTCTTCCAAGGAGCTCAGGGCTTGCCGCTGGTCTCCCTTGGGCAGGGCTGGCCGCCTTCTGCGCGGCTTGAACACACCTCCCCTCTGCTCTCCCCCCAGCCCCGGAGTCCCTCAAGCTGGACCCGGCCACGGCCCACCCGCTCCTGGAGCTCTCCAAGGGCAACACGGTGGTGCAGTGTGGGCTCCTGGCCCGGCGGCGCGCCAGCCAGCCCGAGCGCTTCGACTACAGCACATGTGTCCTGGCCAGCAGGGGCTTCTCCTGTGGCCGCCACTACTGGGAGGTGGCAGTGGGCAGCAAGAGCGACTGGCGCCTGGGGGTCATTAAGGGCACGGCCAGCCGCAAGGGCAAGCTGAGCAAGTCCCCGGAGCACGGCGTGTGGCTCATCGGCCTGAAGGAGGGCCGCGTGTACGAGGCCTTCAGCTGCCCCCGGGTGCCCCTGCCCGTGGCGGGCCACCCCCACCGCATCGGCGTCTACCTGCACTATGAGCAGGGGGAGCTCACCTTCTTCGACGCCGACCGCCCGGACGACCTGCGGCCACTCTACTCGTTCCAGGCCGACTTCCAGGGCAAGCTGTACCCCATCCTGGACACGTGCTGGCATGAGAGGGGCAGCAACTCCCTGCCCATGGTGCTGCCGCCACCCAGTGGGCCCGGCCAGCTCTCCCCACTGCAGCCCACCAAGCTGTAGGGCTGCCTTTCCGCTTGCCATGGGGGCTTGAGGGGTCCTGCTGACTCTGGTGAGCAGAGGCGATGACTTCCTTGTTTGGGGAGGTCTTTGCCTGGGTTCCCCTAGAAACATTTATTGTTGGGAGAATGCCTACGGTAGCCAGGGGCATGTTTATTAACCTCTATCTGGGCTATTAACCTGCTTATTAACCAGCAAAGCCAGGCCTTGGGGTCCAAGGATCAAGCTGGGCTTCCCTTGTGCATGCACACTCAGTCACTTCAGTCATCTCTAACTCTTTGAGACCCCATGGACTGTAGCCTGCCAGGCTCCTCTGTCCGTGGGGATTCTCCAGGCAACAATACTGGCGTGGGTTGCCATGCCCTCCTCCAGATCTTGCCGACCCAGGGATCAAACCCATGTCTCTTATATCTTCTGTATTGGCAGGCAGGTTCTTTACCACTCATGCCACCTGAGAAGACCAGCCTTCCCTCAGCCCCTGCTAACCATGTTTGCTGCTTACTCTTCCTCCTGAGGGTGGAAACACTCCCACACATAATTCCCCCATCACTATGAACTTTAAGGATAATAAAACAGACGTTATTTCTTCCTTGTCAAATGATTTGCAATGATCAGTTGCTGCCCATGCACGCTGTTTTATGCTCAGGTCTTTAAAAGCAGCTCCAGCCTCTGGTGGGGCCGCATCTCACAGCCCTTTGATTTCCATACCATCCTTTCTGGCGTGGGCAACAAGGCCTCCGTGAGCTGCTGCCTTTGGCTAATCTTCCTCCTGCCATCTGTGTAAGTAATAATCAAAAGCTGCTTCTTGTCTCTTTTTTTTGAAAATTTAAAAAACTTACTTGTTAATTTTTTTGGCCATGCTGGGTCTTCATTGCTGTGCGCATGCTCTCTCTAGTTGTGATGGACAGGCTTCTCACCGCGGTGGCTTCTCTGGTTGTGGAGCACGGTTCTAGGTGCACGGGCTCAGTAGCTGGGGCTCCTGGGCTCTAGAGCACAGGCTCAGGAGTTGTGGTGCACAGGCTTAGTTGCTCCATGGCACGTGGAATCTTCCAGATCAGGGATCAAACCTTGTGCCCTGCTTTGGCAGGTGGATTCTTAGCCACTGGACCATCAGGGAAGTCCTGCTTGTTGTGTCTCGATTAGCTGCATCTGTCGGGCGTTGGCCTTGGTTACTGCATGCGTGATGACTTCCAGACTTGGTGTTCGGTTGTGTAGCTCTTCCTTCAATTCCATGACTGTACCTCTGCTTTCCATCCTGCGTGGCCCAGGGGGCTGGCCTCGCTGGAATGCACATCATTCTGGCTTCCTGTTGAGTTCAGCTGATGGGAGGGGCTGGCAGGAGATCCCAGGGCAGGAGAAGAGAGTTGGAGGTACTTATTTTCTTGTTTTTCTGCCTACTGGGCTATGCATGCAGGGTCCCCCCTCTCTTTTCAACTCTTTCTATATTCCTGGTGGTAAAGAGCACTGTCGCCAGCCCTGAATTCTGCACCATCACCCGTAGACCCCCTCACCTCTGACCGTTCTTTTTAGAAAGAGTCCCTTCTTTAAACTCTCCTCAGCGACTCCCTTGTGTGTACCACCCTGCCTTCAGCCAGGCCATGAAGGACATGATGGCATACTTCTGCACCCATTTAATAAATCCTCTCTTTCAACTGGCTAACCAGAGTAAGTGTTTATGCTTGCAACAGAAAGATCTTAACTGATACACATCTAATATGCAAGAGACGGAGGAAAGAACAGTTAATTCTTCACTTGGAATTGGCATTTAAACTGAAAGAAGTGGAACGCTGGCAGAGGAGAAGAGCCTGCAGGGATCTAGGTTCAAAAGGGATGCTGCTGCAGGGGGCCCACTTCCCTGGCGGTCCAGGGGTTAAGACTCTGCCTTCCAATACAGGGTGCGAGGGTTCAATCCCTGATCTAGGAAAGAAGATCCCACATGCCATGCAGTGCAGCCAACAAAACAAAATGGGATGCTGCAGCTGGCACTGGAGACGAGGGTAGGGGCTGGTTGGGGTGGAGGGTGTGCATCTATGCTACTTTAGTGTATGTTAACTTTGTCCCACACTAACAACACTGTGGAAGTGGGTGAGTCTGCCCCGGGGGAGAAAATATCAGACCAATGGAAAGGAGGTCAGAGAATGGAACACCAGAACCTAGCGGAGCAACTTAGGCAGGGTGGCCAAGGAAACTTAGACCTGGGCAGAGAGATGGGAGGGAATGCCAGCAGAGGAGGTCATAGAAGGCAAAGCTTTCCAACAAAGAAGGTGTGTTCAACAGTGCCATGAAACCCTAGATTCAGAGTCTGTGCTCCCACTGCAGGGGGTGCAGGTTGGAGCCCTGGTCAGGGAACTAAGATCCCACACGCGGTGCAGCAGTCAGTGGATTTACGTGTGAAATGATGAAGCCATAGATGATTTCTGTATTGTACAGGTGTGAAGTGGTTTTCAAGTGTGACATCAAGGGCAGAAACCATAAAGGTAATATTTTTAAAATGAGAACCTCATGGTGTCCAAAACAATTATAAACCACATTAAAAGAATAAACTGAAAAAAAACTGAAAAAAACTGAAAAAAAAAAAAAAGAATAAACTGGAAAAACGGCAAAACCTAAGAGGTATATATTATTAATATAGAAAGGGCACTAACAGATAGTAGAGGGGTGAGCAAAAGATATTTACATGTCATAAGAAATACAAACGACCATTAACAGGAAAATGATTAACCTCAATCACAGAAATTAAAACAGCAATAAGATCTCATTGCCTGTGATATCGGCAAGGATTGAAAGAAAAACGCAAAGAGCTGCGAAGAAGTGGTCAGCCGGAGTCTCTGCGTTGGCCTCCAGACCCTTACAGGAGTGTGAACTGCCACACGCCCTGGGACCACCAGAATGGGTACAGGGACTTCCGGGTACGGAACACCCGTGCCCTTTGACCCCGGAAGTCAGGTGGGGCGGTGCGGAGCCGCGCGCGCCTCACGACAGAGCCGTAAAGGCGCGCGGGCGGGCGCGGAGCATGGCGGTGTATACGGCAGCGGCGGCCGTGCTGGCCGGCGTGGAGAGCCGCCAGGGTTCGCTCAAGGGGCTGGTGTATGCAAGCAACTTCCAGGTAGCAGGGTTCGGGGTTCGTGCCCGGGAGGGGGGCCCCGGCAGGGGGCTAGCTCTTCCCGGCCCGCGTCTCACCTGGGTCCTCTCGGCCGAGCGCAGAACGTGAAGCAGCTGTACGCGCTGGTGTGCGAGACGCAGCGCTACTCCGCGGTGCTGGACGCCGTGATCGCCAACGCCGGCCTCCTGCGAGCCGAGAAGAAGCTGCGGCCGCACCTGGCCAAGGTAACAGGAGGGTGAGCCCCTCCTAACCTTAGGGTCTCTGCTCCGCCGCCTTCCACCTTGTGATGCTAGCAAGTCGCTCCTCCGAAATGAGGCGCAGCCCCTCGCTGGTTTATGAATTGAGAGGTGCACATGCTTTAACTTCGAGCCTTGTGTGAAAGATTAAGAACATAAGACCAAAGTGTTGATAGCGCAGCAAGCTCTGTTTAGGTAAAACGAAAGGGTGATGTTGACAAGGGAGGAGAGTTCAGACCCAGAGGTTTTCCTGGTGAGAAGCCATGGGGAAGGGGTTCGGGACTGGGAAGCCAGGCGCCAGGTTCAAATCGTGTTAGTTCAGTCGCTCAGTCGTGTCAGATGGTGTGCTTGCCCGTTAATTTCTTGATCTTGAACAAGGTAGCTCACTTTTACCCATTACTATCTTGATAGGTGGTCTGTTTAACTCTTCCAGTTCCAGCACTGTGGAGTTCCAGGATATTCATACTCAAGGTTTTCTTGCCTCCTTTCTCCATCCCAGGTGCTAGTATATGACTTACTGCTGGGGAAAGGCTTTAGAGGGCGCGGGGGCCGATGGAAACCTCTGCTGGAGCGGCACCAGGCCAGGCTGAAGGCTGAGTTGGCCCGGCTCAAGGTTCGTCAAGGTGTGAGCCGGAACGAGGACCTGTTGGAAGTTGGATCCAAGCCTGGCTCAGGTGAGCTGGGAGGTGTTGTGGAGGTGGGGGATAGACATCAGGCCCTCAAGAGAGGGCCTGGTTCCAGCCCACTCATTGCTGGTTGCTTCCTAGCCTCCCAGGTGCCTCGATTTGTGCGAGTGAACACTCTGAAGACCTGCACTGAGGATGCCATTGATTACTTTAAGAGACAAGGTTTCTCCTACCAGGGTCAGGCTTCCGGGTAAGTTTAGAACCCTGCCTGAGCGTGGAATGGGCTTCCCAGGTGACTCAGTGGTTAAGAATCAGCCTACCAATGCAGGTTCAATCCTTGGATCGCGAAGATCCCCTGGAGGAGGAAATGGCAGACCACTCCATTACTCTTGCCTGGAAAATCCCTTGGACAGAGGAGCTTGGCAGGCTGCAGTCCGTGGGGGCCGCAAAGAGTCAGACGTGACTGAGCATGGAATGCAGTACTAAATAGAAGTGACTAGAGTAGGCGTCTTGTCTTGTGCCTGAGTTTTAGAGGAAAAACTTTCAGCCTTTCCCCATTGAGTGTGATGTGAGCTGTGGGTTTGTTATATACAGACTTTATTATGTTGATATGTGTTCCTTCAGTACCAAGTGTGATGAGAATTTTTATCATGAGTGGATGCTGAATTTTCTCAAATGCCTTTGCTGCATCTGTTGAGATGGTCATGTGATTTTTGTCTTGTTTGCGGTATATCACACATTGATTACTTTGTGGATATGGAACCATACTTGCATCTCTGAACTTGGCATCTTGTGCATTCCTTGTTTTAACAGATGTCACTATGACACACCCATTTGGTCAGAGTAGAAACTGGGTCATCGTACATGCTTCCCTCCTCTTTGTCTCGTCATTTACTACTCTGCCTTTGGTATCTCTCCCCAGCCTTCTGGATACTGCCTGGGTTTAAGCATCATATCCTGTCGTGATTGGCACAAGAACCCTCAGCTGGTCTCCCCACGTTCAGACTTTCTTGTCATGCTCGTCCTCTTTGTGTTGGCTGCAGAAAGTTCTGAACCCAGATCTGACCCTTGACCCCCTCACTGACCCTTGGCCCTCTGAACCCTTGGCCCTCCGCTGGACTGTGCCCCCTGCCTCCTTTCCAGGCCCGCTGTGCACACAGGTCTGCCGCGCACTTGTGTTCTCACGGTGGTTGCTGCCCCGTGCCCAGGCCCCCGCCCTGCCCCTGCGCTCTCCTCCCTCCCGTTCCATCCTTTCACAGCTCTGGGAAGCGGCCTCCTCCCCCTCCCTCTCCTTCGTCTGTTGTAGACGTCTCCCTGTCGGCCTTCAGCGTGTTGCTTGGAGACCAGGGCGGCAGAGAATGGCTGTTTAGGTTTGGATGCCAGCTCTGCTACTTGTTGGGCTTCCCTGGTGGCTTAGACGTAAAGAATCTGCCTGCAATGGGGGAGGCCTGGGTTTGATCTCTGATTTGGTTAGATCCCCTGGAGAAGAGAATGGCAACCCACTCCAGTTTTCTTGCCTGGAGAATTCCATGGACAGGAGTCTGGTGGGCCACAGTCCATGGGGTCGCAAAGAGTCAGACATGACTGAGTGACTCACTTTGTATTTCTGCTACTTGTTAGCTTTCTCATCTGAGTTATTCTCTCATGTTTTCTACATGGTCAAGTGAATGGACAGTGCTTCTCCATAGTTTAGAGAACAAAGTTTTCACCTCAGCTCCTCAGGGTACTTATTCATTCATCAGGAATCGACTCAGTACTCACTTCCCTGTACCAGGCCCCTCTTCCCAGGGTTATGTTCTGATAGTACTGGCTGTTGCGAGCCTAATGTGTGCGAAATCTTTTCCTGCGAGGTTTGCATGTCATTTAATCCCCACCTACCGTTGTCCAGAAGTACAGAGGCTGAGGTGCCCAGGCCTCCACCTCTGGGATCCTCTGGACGCAGAGTCTGGCCTGAGAACCCCTTCTCTTAACCTTTGCCTCTATCTTATCAGTGTGTTAATATCCTCAGAGCAGTTTTAAGCATTTGTCACATCAATAAGCAGTCAGGTGACGTGTGAAGTGCCTGGCTGGTGCCTGGCACGGAGGGATGCGTAAAACGTGGAATAAGCAGTTCGTATTCCCTGGCAGCCTCGAGGACATCAGGGCCCTCAAAGGGAAGTGTTTTCTCCTGGATCCCTTGCTGCCAGAGTTGCTTGTGTTTCCTGCCCAAACAGATCTGCATGACCATCCACTGTACCAAGCCGGTCACCTCATCCTACAAGACAAGGTAGGGAGGATGGGTGGAAAGGGGGGAAGCATGTGGGGAGTGGTCAGCCTGGGGCCTCCGTTCACCCAGCCCCCACCGCCAGGCGAGCTGTCTCCCGGCCATGCTGCTGGCTCCGCCCCCAGGGTCCCACGTCATTGATGCCTGCGCTGCCCCGGGCAATAAGACCAGTCACCTGGCTGCTCTTCTCCAGAACCAAGGGTGAGTGCCACGGTCAGACAGGAGTGGGGTGGGATCTGATCCTGTACTTTGTAGAAGAGATAAGGAACAGTTATTCCAGTAAGTCCTGCAGGCTGAAAGGAGGCCTTGCCTTTCAGCATTTCCTTCTGGACCTAGTGCATTTCCCTAAGCTTCCCAGTGGGCGGCAGGTATGAGATGTGAGTCCCCTAGCCCTCGGAGCACAGGGCCCAGGCCAGCTATTTCTGACCACTGAGCCTTTTAATTTAGAATTTAAAGACATTTAAATAGTCTGTGTGTCCTAACTTCAACTATGTGTCAGAGCTGTGGGCTCTTAGACGCTCTGTCAAGTTCTCAGTTCACCTCAGCTCTGTCCTCCTCCCTAGGAAGATCTTCGCCTTTGACCAGGATGCCAAGCGGCTGGCATCTATGGCTACCCTGCTGGCCCGGGCAGGGGTCTCCTGCTGCGAGCTGGCCGAGCAGGACTTCCTGGCGGTCTCGCCCTCGGACCAGCGTTATTGTCAGGTCCAGTACATCTTGCTGGATCCCTCCTGTAGTGGCTCTGGTGAGATGGCGGGGAGCACGGCCCAGGGCCCCACGGACCCAGAGCAACCTTGGAGCGTGAGGGGCGGTCGGGTGTCCTGGCCTGAGGTTTGGTTCCTGTGACCCTTGGCAGACGTGCTCACCTGGAAGCAGGACCTGCTTTTCCAGGCTGGGTGTGCTGAAAGCACTCTTCCCTAGGGATGCCCAGCAGACAGCTGGAGGAGCCCAAGGCTGGCACGCCGAGCCCAGAGCGCCTGCGAGCGCTGGCCGCCTTCCAGCAGCGGGCACTGAGCCACGCGCTCACGTTCCCTGCCCTGCGACGCCTCGTCTACTCCACGTGCTCCGTCTGCCAGGAAGAGAACGAAGACGTGGTGCAAGCCGCTCTGCAGCAGAGCCCAGGCGCCTTCAGGTAGTGGGTGTCCACCAGGGCCGTGGGGAGGGGGCCGCCTCCGACCTGGAAGCCCACCCCACTTCCTGCCTGCAGGCTGGCTCCCGTCCTCCCCTCCTGGCCACACCGAGGCCTGGGCGCTTTTCCAGGCGTTGAACACTGCCTCCGGGCCTCTCCCGAGACCACGCTCACCGGGGGCTTCTTCATCGCGGTGCTTGAACGGGCAGAGGTGCCAAGGTGAGTGATGGGGGACCTCCCTGGAAGAGGCTCAGGGATTGGGGCACGTCTCACGCCCATTACTTTTCTTCTAGCTCCGTCTCACAGGCTGAAGCACCAGTCTCAGAGCTGACACCCGGCCCCGCCCCAAAGAGGAGGAAGAGGCGGCGAAAAGCGACGGCTGCCCCCAGCACGCAGCCCGGCACATAGCGGGGGCACAGAGTGCCGACTCTTCTCAGGCCCTCGGCCCCAGGTGGCAGTTTGGTTACGGCTGGAGGAAGAAGACTGGGAACCCTGTTCCTCAGCTGGAGGGAGACGGGACACTCCTCTGCTTTGGGTCCTTTCCCTGGGTTGTGCTTTTGCGGGTGAGACGCACTGCTGCTCACAAAAATAAAACGCAGGACATGGTCTACGATAGATCACAGTTTTTTTTATTCTTAATGACATAAGCAAGGAGAAAAATCTCACATTCATACTAAAAATTCCAACTAGACTCACAGGAATTCAGTCTTCGTTTACAATGGAAAGTCCCAGCCTCCCGTCCCTGTCCAGTGCACGTACGTGTCCACACCCGCATTCACACACTCACACTCGGGGCAGGGGGCTCCTGGACCAACTGTCCCGCCTGTGGAGCTGAGGTAATCGAGCTGAGGGTCTGCCTTCCGTGAGGTGTAGGCAGCAGCCTGACTTCTAGACCCACGCCCGCCCCTCCCATCCGAGCAAGTACGCAGGACTCAGGCCCCCCTCAGCTCCACACGCAACAGAGCTCTCCGGTGGGGAGGCGCGTCCCCCACCATGAACCATTCACCCTCAGTCACAAAGGGGAGGGGACTAGTTACACCTACGTCACATTATTCATAAAATAAGAATTACATTTTCTGTTTCCAGAAGGAGCTCAAGTCCCTCAGGAATGCTGCCGGGACAGCATCTGAGCCTCTTCTGCACACAGGCATAACTTAACTCTACACAACTAATCTCTAGTCAAATAGCATTTATACTGAACCACCTCAATGAACCAAGCTTGAAGGAATTTAAAAGGCAATTTAGCTTAAATACAAAAATAAATTTTTATTGTTAAAAAATGTTTAAATATTTTTTTTTTTCTTTTAATTTAGACACACGCATTCATACTTCTCCCAAAGAGGATGGGCATGGCAGCAAGGCTCATGGGCCTGGGGTAAGGGGTTTTGGAACAAAGGGAGAAGGGAAGGGATGGAGGAAGTAAGACAACAATTTTAAAACGTGGTTCTTTAATTTAGGGTTTCTACCATATATTACAAACAGTGAGGTTAGGTAGGTGGGAAAGAAAGCACAGGGCAGAAGCCTTGGCTTCCCCTTGGCCCCATCCTCCTGGGCTGCCAGCCCTTAAAGTCGAAACACCATGTGAGAATTCAAGACTCGGCACTTGTAGCCGCAGAGTGGTGCCACTTTCCACACTCAATTAGCGAGGCCCCAGAAACTTGAGAAACAGTTAAGTCCGGCACTACCAACATGCCGCCACTCATACAATTCAATTCTTCCTCCAAACTCGATTCAAAGAGCAATAGACATGAGCATCAGACAAAATAACACAGGACAAAGCTTCAAACAGACGATCCCGGAGAGGCAGACAGGCCCAGTGAGGCCAACGGGGATGGTGGGTGAGGAGGCAGCTGAAAGCAGTGGGGTGGGTGGCTGTGTGTGGGGGGGCTGTGTCCTGCCTGTGCCAAGAGCTTCCCTCTCCCGGAGGAGGCACCACCCCTGGGTCTGCCAGGCTAACAGTCTTGAGCCACCAAGCTTTGAGGGGTCAAACTGGCAGAGTGGGTTGGGGATGAAAGGTTGGCTCGGACTTGGCAGGAGGAAGTGGAATAGCAGGAGCTGCACCTGCTGGGGTCTCCAAGGCAAAGCTAGACCCAGGATCACTTTAAAAGGAATCGACCCTGCAAGGAACCGGTGAGGGATGAAGCAGCAAGAAGTGGGGAAACAAGAGTCCCCTCATGGGACTGGAAGGGGAAAGCCACTTGTACAGCCAAGCCAAGCCCGGTGCAGCTTTGGGGACAGTCCACCCCAACCCATCAAGTGCACAGAGATGCAGGTGGCGGGGCTTGACCTGCTAGCCTCCGGCCAAGATGGTTCTTGGGGAGAAGGCGGGCAGGGGGCTGCCTGCCTGAGCTTACACACTACACGAGCGTCGGGGAAGGAAGTGGACAGTATGTACAGATGTTTCTTTAGTTCTCTCCAGCTTCACCAGTTCAAGTAAGGTAACAGGCTTCTGCCCTGCCACGTCCCTCCCCCCATGACCCCCCAGACCTGGGGCTTCTGCTTCCTGAAAGAGGGAAACAGCCCCTGGAGCTGCCACTACCTCCCTGGGGGCTGAAGCCAGAGGTCTGGGGTTGGTCTGCTTTATGGAACTAGAAGGATCGGAGGCTCTTCCTAGCAGGTGCCGAGGTCCAGATTTGGGCAAGGGGTGGTGGGGGGCTGGGTGAGGGACAAAGGCTACTTCTTGCGGGTATGCTGCCTCCGGGCCTGCAGCCGCTGTCGAGCCCCTGGGGTCTTGGATCCCGCACCAATGGAAAAGGAAGGGGCTGTCGATCCTGGAAAGATTCAACAAGATCTCATCAGGGCGGCTGGGACCCGGGAGCGCTTCTCTAAAGAACACTGGGCAATGGAAAAAGGCAATCCCTCTGGGAGAGGCGCTGGTTAAAAATGCAAAATCGCAAGACCACAGATAGTCTGGGAACAAGGCCCAGGCCGGCATTTTCACCTGGCTTCTGAGTGGTCAGTTGCCCAACTCCAAACGTGGGCAGTGCTGGACTCCTGGACCGGCCTTGGACAGCTGGACGCTGCCAGCCCGCCCCACCCTTCTTCAGAAAGGAGACAAGGTCACACTGGCCACTTACCGAAAGGTCCGACTCCGACAAAGCCTTGGGCAGGCGCTGAGGACGCCCCAAAGGAGAGGCTGCTGCCAGCTGCGCCCACTGCAGGGGCTGGGGTGTTCTGACCGAAGGTGGGCGTGGAGGTGCCTAGGATGGAGAGAGAAAGCGCTGTGGGGGCCAGGCTGCGGAGCAGTGGGGGAGGAGCCTTGAGGGAGCTCAGCTCCTGGCAGGGCCTTCCCGCAGGACACCTGGGCTCTGGGTCCCCCACCTAAGGACAGCACCGACCTTCACACCCACTACCCCGGGCGAGCCTCCCAGCTAGCCACCAGTGGTGCCACAGCAGGGCGGGTTCTGGCCACTTAAGGAGCAGGGCCCCTGCATTTCCTCGACCAGCAGACCCAGCACAGGAGCCAACTCTGTGGACCTCCGCCTCTAGCCTGAGCCCGACTACCTGCCCCGTCAGGACTAGCTAGATGCATTCAGTCTCTTCTTGTTCACTTGTCCTCCCCGCTCTGCCCTGTGGGTCCCCTGAGGCCCACTGGGACTCCCCACCCAGCCCTGCTGTCCCTTCAGCCCTGCCTTCTCTCTTGTAGGGGGAGGCTTTTTATCTGATGAAGCGGCATGGGTCAGGGTTTGTACAGAAAGGGCAGAGGCGGGGGTGGTGAGAGTGAAGCCTCTCCCTCCCAGGCCCTGGTTGCCTCCCTTCAGACACCTCCCCTGTGCACACCTCTCCCTCCCCTCCCCACTCCCACCTTGTCACCACCACTGCTCCAGACCCCACCTCCTGTCAGCCTCCCCAGAAACATGGCCACCACCCCTCCCACTGTACTTGCTTCAGATTCAACATGGTGGCTTCCCCAGCTACCACTTAACTTAGACCTACATCTCACAACTGAACGTGGCTGGGAAAACAGTGCTGACAGGCCTCTCATGACCACACTATGAGTGTGTGATGCTGCTTGTGATCCTACACCATCTCCCCGGCTCCGAAGTGACTACTCGGGAGGTCCTATGGGGCCCTCTCACACCTGCCTCCACCCACACCCAAAACCCTCCTCGTCACCAACAGTCTGAGATTAAGTCCGTCCTTTCTCAGAAAGGCATTCCTCTGCACTCAGTAATCACATATTTTACCAAGAAACTCATACTGTATCGATGCATTTAATGCCCGTCTCTTCACTACCACAATATAAAGCTCCAAATGGGTGGACGCTGCCCAGCAGGCCAAGTCAACTTGTGATCATACCTCCAAACACAGGTTTGCTGTCCGGCGTGCTGGTCACATTGAAGGCAAAGGGTGTGTTCTGGTTGGGTGCGCCCAAGCTGTTTTGACTCAAGCCTCCCCCAAAAGGCGCTGCGCTGCCAGTGGTCCCACTCTGTCCTGCCCCGAAGCCAAACGCTCCAGAGGCAGCGCTGGTGCCCGGGGTGGCCACACTCATCCCAAAGGCCCCGCTCCCAGCTGGGGCCGCCGGCCCCCCAAACGTGAAGGGCGACGGCGTCGTGCCGCTGAACACCGAGCCGCTGGTCCCGCTGCTGGTGGTCTGGGTGGTACTGCCAAAGCCAGAGGTGGTGGCCGCACCAAAGGAGAAAACAGCTGTGGCACTGCCAAAGGCTGGCCGGGTGCTGGCGGCGGTGCCGAAGGCGGAGGGTGTGGCTTTCAGACCGCCGAACGCCGGCTGCGCAGCGCCGCCGAACGCTGGCTGGGCTGGGGTCGGCGCTGGGGTCGCAGTTGGGGCTGGAGCCGCAGTGTTTCCAAAAGCGAAAGAGCTGCCAAAGCTGGGCACGAGAGCCGGTTTGGCAGCCCCCTGTGGCTGCCCCTCGGCGGCCCCGAAGGTGGGCTGGGGGTTGGCCCCCGGGTGGGATGCAAGCGGGGGCTTGGCGCCTGAGGCGAAGGGCATGCTGAAGGCCGGGGCGGTGCTGCTGCTGAACGTCAGCGTGGGCTGGCCGGTGGTGGCCGGGGCGGAGGTGCTGAGGCTGCTGCCAAAACCAGTGAAGCCAGCACTGCTGCTGCTGCTGCTGGGGGCTGTCTGAGGGGCACTGGGAAGCGACTGGCCAAAGGTGGTGACTGATGTGGAGGCGGGCATGGCGGGGGGCTTTCCAAATTGGAATATGGAGCCCCCAGTTGGGGTGAAGCTGGCACCAGAGGTCGGGGGAGTCCCAAAGAGGAAGGGCTGGGAGGTGGAAGCAGTGGTGCTAGTCACGCTGCTCAGAGTGCTGGTCACACTGCTCACACCAAAGCTGAAGGCGGGCTTCGGGGCAGAGTCTGTGGAGGTGCTGGCCGTGCTCACAGAAGTCACTGTGGAGGAGGCAGTGGCCTGGCCGGTGAAGAGAGGGGCACTCGTGGGAGTGGCCAGAGTAGCTGTTTGCTTGAAGAAGGGAGTTAACCCGGGCATAGATGTGGGTGGCCCCACGCTGCTAAAGATTGGCTTGAAAGCGGGGGCTGGGCTGCTGGTAGTCGTGGGGAGGGCCGAGCTGGAAGATGCCACGGCCGTGACCGTGGAAGGGCTAGAGGGCAAGGGGTCCCCATTCTCGCTTTTCGGGGGGGCCACAAAAATGGGTTTGAATGTGGGCGATGCTGAAGACACAGCAGGGGCTACAGAGGCAGGAGGGTTAGCAGCTGGGGTGCTCAGCATTCCAAACAGGATACTCTGCTTGGGACTGGGAGGAGGGGTAGACAGGGCCTGGGATTTGACGGATGTCTCAGCCGAAGGGGACTTGGCGGCATCGGTGACGGGTCCCGGGGAAGAAGCTGGGGTCAGCCCCAAGAGAGCAGTGGTGGATCTGGAGTCAGAGGAGGTGGCCGGAACGGCCCCTGACTGTGAGGAGCTCAGAGAGGCCAGAGGACCGGGTGTCTTCGGAGGCGAATCGGCCACAGTGGTGGTCACTCCAGCAGGTTCTGGGAAGAAGAGTAGAGAAAGTGAATTTGGAATACTTCAGATGTGACGGGGCTCAAAGCCCAGCATAGTGCTTGGGATTCAACAGTCAACAATTATGACTAAATCCATGTCACAGAACTTTAAACTGTTCATTCTTGAAAACAGGCCAGTGTTCATAATCACTACCCTTCACAGATCATAAGAAAGATTTCAGAAGAGGATAAAACGTGGGCCCCATTGGGGATTACACGTACAGAAACAAAGAAAATCCCGATCACCTGAACTTAAGTCCAGTTAATAACTAGATACACCTTATACAGCTAACAAAGACGCTCTGCACTACATTCACCCACCAGGTGCAAGCAGAGAGCATATAACCATGGTTGAGGAGACGCTCTGACCATGAGCCCAGGTATTCAGAACCGCTGAACACCTAACACACTCTACGATACGATGAAGTGCAGTAGAGGAGTGTGTGTACACGCAGTGCCAGGAAGTCTGAACAGCAGCAGACCTTGGAAACTTCGAGAAGAGTCAGATTACCTTCTGACTGTAGTCTAAGCGTGTGATAAGACACCCTAACCATGTGATCAGTGACACTTCCGCCCACAACACCTCATGAGGTCAGCATTATTTTCTCGTCTTACAGATGATGACAAACAAGGCTCAGAGGAGCTGAGGGACTGGGTTTCAAATCAAGAGCCACTTGGAGACCAAAACTCAGCTGCCTTCCTTAGCTCTGAGTGTTGCAGCCCTTCCCTAAAACTGATGAGATTCTAAAGCTCTTAAGCATGCACCAGCTCTGGTTAGAGGAGCTAGAACAAGGTCAACCTTTATAACAATTTCCAGGAACTGATGAGCATGGTGCTTTCACTTCTTTAAAAAAATTTTTTTAATTCAATTACTCAGCTGTGTTGGGTCTTTGCTGCTGCACGTGGGCTTTCTCCAGGGGCTGCTCTCTAGTTGTACGTGCACTTCTCACTGTGGGGGCTTCTTTTGCTGTGAAGCAGGGGCTCCAGGCACCCAAGTTTCAGTAGTTGTGGCTCACAGGACCTAGAGCACGTGGGCTAAGCTGCCCTGCAATATGTGGAATCTTCCCGGACCAGGGATCAAATCTGAGTCCCCTCACATGTACACCCATGGCTGATTCATGTCAGTGTACGGCAAAACCCACCACAATATTGTAAATTAGCCTCCAATTAAAATAACTAAATTAATTTAAAAAAAAATCTGAGTACCCTACACTGGCAGGTGGATTCTTATCCATATACCACCAGGGAATTCCTGGCGATTTTACTTCTACCTAAACAAAGGCTGATGTCATTACACGTTAAGCTCTCCTGGGAACTCCCTAGCAGTCCAGTGGTTAGGACTCCATGCTTCCACTGAAGCAGCCTGGGTTTGATGCCTGGTCAGGGGATTGAGATCCTACAAGCTGTGTGGTGCAGCCAAAACACAAACAAAACAAAGGAAGCTCTCCCACTCACCAGGGAGGGGAGGTAGGCCCGGAGAATTCTGCATCTTCTTTAAGCTCTCCAACAGTGGGTTAGCGCTAGGGGCTTGGAGGGAGGTTGGGGATGAAGCAGTCCCAGTGGCAGGCGAGGTAAAAGTGAAGGAAGACTGACTGGCAGGTGAGGCCTCAGTGACAGAGGCTGAGGCAGCATCTAGGGAAGAAAGAGAAGATGACACTGTTTGGGAACTCTTTCCAGTTGTATATCACGGAGCACGGGGAGTTCGGGGCATCAGTACAACTCACAAAGGTTTCCTTTCAATGCTTACCATTCTCCAGATTCCACTGAGGGCCCAAATGGATTTCCCACATGAGAAAGACCAAAATAAAACCCAAGGAGACAAAGCCTCTCTGGAGTGTGAAACTGATCTATATTCCTTACCAGTCTTATCCTCTAAGACCTTGTTAAACCACTGTAAAGAAGCTTTCTTTTCCAAGTCCAAGTCCTCAGCAGTGATCGAATAACCAAGCTGGGGAGGTGGAGGCTACCAAAGAGAAAAAGAAGTTGTCAACCAGGAGAAACTGGAAGAATTCTGTCTTTAGCCTTCCTAAGGCAGAGCTAAGCTGGGGTGGGCAGAAGCAGAGGGACAGGACATACCAAGGTCAGCTGGTCTCCTCGCCTGGAGGGCAGCAGCTGGACCTTCCGTTTACGCTGCCCGGAGCTGCCAGGTGTTGATGGGGAATTCCACGAGCTCTGCTTCTTCCATGTGGTTGGATCTACAACTAAAGAGAGAGAGATTTAATTTTCTTCTTCCTCTCTGCAAGACACGGACAGGTTATCTATCTCCTGTTTTTAACATTGAATTTTCACTGGGTATCTCTGAAAAATTCTGTTTTCCATGATTTGGGCTCCTGGATGGTGTTTGCTAAATTATTTCTAATAGTCAAGAGGATATAAAGGGAGAATTGCTCCAAATCAAAGTATACAACTATTTCTGTTGTTCAGTCATGACCAACTCTTTACAACCCTATGGACTGTAGCCTGCCAGGGTCTTCTGTCCATGGAATTTTTCAGGCAAGTATACTGGTGTGGGGTGCTACTTCCTTCTTCAGGGATCTTCCCTACCCGTGGGCTGAACCCACGTCTCTGGTACTGGCAGCTGGATTCTGAGCCACTGAACCATCAGGGAAGCCCACAGAACTGCTTACTGGACAACGGTCATCTGGATTGCGCATAGATACCTCAACCTAAGTTTATCCATAGCCTACTATTATCACATATTGTACTGTATTTCTCTGAGTCGCCTTTCTCCCTTACCCGACTATAAACCTCTGAAAGACAGAAACATCTATCTCTGTATCCACCAGGCCCTTCACAAAGCAATGCTCAATACTTCCACCAATAGCCGCTCTAGTGCACTCATCAACTTACCCTTCTCTCCCTGGGACTCCTTGTCTGTTACCAATGGAGTTGAAGAACTAGAATGATGAGAAAGCTCCTCTTCTCTGCAGGAGGAAAAGGCAGAATTAAGTTTAGAAAGATTTGCTGACAGAAAATACTGGATAACTTCCTGCACCTGCTTGCCTACCAACTGGTCTAGAACCACCATGATTTAGGACCTCAGTATGCCAGGACAAAAAAAACAAAAGTCAAAAGAAAATCCCAATAGAAATGAATGGAGGCAGTTTATGGAAGCCATGGAGAAAGCTTTGTCTTAAAACAACCACAAATCAACACTTTTCAAAACCTTACTTACAGCCCACCAAGTTCTTAAAAGTTCTAGTCACAGGTCTGATCCCTAGAGTTGACCTCAGGTACCCAGAGGGTCGGCTGGAGTTCAGAATGTGAAGCCCGCCGACATTGTTCCCTGTCTGCTCTGCTCTGAATGGTCTCTACTGCTGCACCCCCATCACTCACGCCACAGTGTGGGGAAGAGAGCCAGAGGCCTCTACAGTCCAAAACACACCACCACAGTCCAAAAGCATCAGTTCCTCGGCGCTCGGCTTTCTTTGCAGTCCAACGCTCACATCCACACATGATTACTGGAAACACCATAGCCTTGACTAGATGGACCTGATTACCTTACCTTATTTTCTTTGCTGGCCTCTCTGGTGTCTGGGAACGGGATGAGGCTGGGCTGGAGAATGGAGATGAACTGGGACCACTCCTCTTCCACAGCTAAAATTCAAACACAGGTAAGACTGACCCTAGTCGATAGTTTATCATCTGACCTTTGATAAAGTTCTTTTCATCACTGCATATAACATCTCCTTTTAAGTAAGTAAGAAAAAGTCTGAAGAACTATGGCATGCTAACTAATAAAAGTAGAAGGGAAGAATGTACTTTCGGCATATGTCAAAAAAGAGGATGTCACAATCACTTAACAGTTTAGAGCTAAGATGTACACATGTTTGCTCCATATTATCTATGGAAATGATTAAAGTCAATTAAGAAACTGTTCCAATGAAGATAACCCAGTAAAATAGTTTTGGTCTCATTAAATTTTCAGTTTTACTTCATTAACTTTATTTTTAAAAATACATTATCATGACATTTATTACTTTTGTAACATCAGTGGTATTTACCGTTATATGATAATTATCCATCCATCTGTCTCCTCACCAAGCGGAGTTCCCTGATATCAAAGGTAGTCTGGGGACTTCCCTGGTGGTCCAGAGATTAAGAATATGCCTTGCAATGCCAGGGACACCAGTTCAACCCCTGGCCCCTGAAGACCCCACACGCTGTGAAGCAACTAGCCTGTGCACAACTACTGAGCCCATGTGCTGCGATCACCAAAGCCTGCGCCTGTGAGCCTGTGCTCCCCAACAAGAGGGGCCCCTGCAAGAGAAGTGGTGAAGAGCAGGCCCTGCTCGTGGTGACCAGAGAAAGCCCACAAACAACGAAGACCCACCGTGGCCAGAAGATAAAATAAATCCCAACAAGTACACAGAGAAAATGTCCTTCCTGTCTCAACAGTTATTACCAGTTTCTAACATATCCTGTCAAAATTATTCTATACACATCAAAAGATGAAAGAACTAGCAGCATGAATAGAGGGCACTGTACACAGCGCTGCACTATGCATTTTTTAAAATGTATTTTGAGATCATTCACATCATTATCTATTAAAGCTGCCTTATCCTTTTTAACAGTTACGTACTATTTCAGCTTACAGAAATACTTTAAGTTATTCAACCAGTCGCCTAAAAAGGCATGCTTACATTGCTTCCAAGCTTCCACTATTAAAACAATGGTACAATCAACATCCTCTGTATGTCTTTTGAGTGTATGTGTAGGGTTAATTCCTAAAAGTAAACCTGCTGGATCAAAGGGCATGTGCATCTCTACTGTTGATAATACTGCCACCCCGCCCTCTAGGGAACTGTACCAACTGGTGCTCCCAACCAGCAATGCATGAGAAGCCCATTTTTCTTGTTTTCTTTGGCCATGCCCCAAGGCTTGCTGGATCTTAGTTCCCCTACCAGGGATCAAACTGGGATCCCAGCAGTGAAAACACCAAGTCCTAACCATTGGACAACTAAGGAAATCCCCATTTTGCAACCTGCTAAACCTTCTAAAACAGATTAGAGTGGCAGTACCCACTGATTGATACTAACATCAAAAAGGAAGCAGCCAGGTTTTATCTATTCCTGACAAGATACAATCCAAAGTACAAGTGTGTGTGGTTAGTCACTCAGTCATCTCTGACTCTTGGTGACCCCCATGGACTGCAGCCCACCAGGCTCCTCTTTTCACGGGATTTTCCAGGCAAGAATACTGGAGTGGGTTGCCATCTCCACCTCCAAAGGATCTTCCTGACCCAAGGATCGAACCCACATCTCTGGGGTATCCTGCACCGACAGGCAGATTCTTTAGCACTGAGCCACCTGGGAAGCCCTAACCCAAAGTACACAGTACCAAAGAAAATCAAAGTACACAGTACCACCTATGCAGTATTCTGCCAAATTAACTGAACTCAAATGTAGTCAAGCCTTGGAAAACAGGAGATAGAGTACAAGTTAAAATGACACCATGATGATGCAAACTTAATCCAAAATATAAGAAATCCTACAGAACAAAATCATCTACTTTTTTCAAAAGCATGAAAAAAAAAAAGCGTAGCAACAGTAGTAGTATAGATTAAAAGAGCCTAAGAGAAATATGAACCAAATGTCAAGAATTGATTTTTGGTCCCTGATTCAAACAGTGTAACTGCAATAAGACAGTTTACGGTAATAAGTGCAATTTAAATACGGAGTGATATTAGCTAATATTAAACAGCGATTATAAATCATTTAAGAGGAATAATGGTACTGTACTTATTAATGTGAAAAAAATCTGAAAATATACTGAAGGACATATAGCTGAAATGACATGTTTGCAGTTGATTTTTTTGGCTTGCTTTAAACTTTTTCTTCATTTTTATTTATTTACTTTTGGCCGTGCTGGGTCTCGGCTGCTATGCAAGCACTCTCTCCTGTCGCAGCGCACAAGCTTCCCCCTGTGCGACTTCTCCAGTTGTGGCTAGTGGGCTCCAGAGTGGGGGCTCAGCAGCTGTGGCACATGGACTTAGCTGTCCTGCAGCATGTGGAACCTTCCCAAACCAGGGATTGAACCCACGTCCCCTGCATTGGCAAGCAAATTCTTAACCACTGGATTACCAGGGAAGTCCTCCATTTACTTTAAAACACAACAGCAAAACAAATGGGGGGCAGAGGTTGATGGAACACGATTGACAAAATGCCATTAACTATTAAAGCTACATGGAGGTCCATCAAGCATTTTCTGTGTGCATTTGAAATCTGACAATATGCTTGCTGTTATGATTAAATGAGGAAATGTATGTAAAGTGCTTGGTTAGTACAGAGCCTCGCCCAGAGAAAGTGCTCAAGGCAAAGGTTGCTATTATCCTTTTAGCATTCCTACAACTGAGACCTTCATCTTTCATTTATATTACTTTAAGAGCCTTCTGGATTAACTCAAAATTTTTCTCCCCTGGAAAATCTTCCTCCACTAAGCTTTATTTTTACTTAGCTACTATACATTACTAAACAGGCACTGTAATGGGTACTTTGCGAACACTACCTTCAGTCTTTACAATAATCCTTCAGAAATGAGAAACAGAATTTAAGTGATTAACCCAAAGCCCCAGAGCTACTAAGTGTCAGAGCCAAGACTGGAACCCACATCTGTATATCTGTGTGGCAGCAAAGTTTGCTCTGTTCCCTAGGCTGTATACTACATTCTCTTTCTAAAAAAGAGAATGACAACATTTAAAAAAATTTCATCAAATTCTCAATGCCTAGAGGCTAAATTTCTTTTATGATCCAATGCAATCTGGACTACTTGGTCTACCTGTTGATAAAATTAATATCACCCACTGAATTAGGCGCCTCTTGCCCATTGATCTGCAGTAATGGCTCTGTCTTGTATCAGGTTTCCACACATGACTGCTCTACTTTTGGAGCTTTTATTCTGCTCCACTGGTCCGTAGTTATCACTCAAGGGTTTTTATCTGTTAGTGGTACTCTCACTATCTGAGGGTAGAAGGAGTGAACGAACACTGGCTGATCGATTAATTAGTGCTGGGAACCCAAGTCTCCGAGAGCACAAGATGAATGTACCTGAGAGAGCCCGCGAGTGGAGCTGTAGGAACTGGTGATGGCATTGCGGCTGGAGCTGGGGATGCCGCCTGTGTATGTGCTGCTTGTCAAGGAGCTCACGGAAGAGGTGCGGGATCTCTTATTCAGGTGATCATCTGAGTTCTGTGAATTAAGACCTCTCTTCAGAGACCCAGGCCTAATAAGAAGGGGAGAAGATAGTTAGATGCATTATTAAAGACATTCTTTTAAGGTTTTGTCCATGGACACAAAAATCTTTCTTTAAAAAAGAAAAGTCAGGAAAAAAAATAATGCTCTTAATTTTATTATTAACAATGTGGCTAAATATATCTGACGGTCAGGAAGAGAAAGTCAAATATTTTTAAAATAAAATGTGTGAGTGAGTCCACTGACTAACACTCTAGAAGATGCACACTAAACTAGTGACAGAAAACAAATAAGCAGACACCTGGAGAACAGGACAAGCTGAAAGGAGGTATTACTAAGGGACACAGGAAAATTTTTGGAAGTGACAATACATTAATTATCTTGACTGTTGTGATGGTTTCACAGCTGTATGCATGTCACAACTTATCAAATTATATAAACAGGCAGCTTATTATTCACCAATTATATCCTGATAAAACTGTTAAAAAAAAAAATCAGAGTTAAGAGAAATGAACTATCTTTTCTAAAGCTCCAACTAAATGGAAATTCCCTATACTTCTTTCCTATAGAAGAGCTATTCAATCTCTGTTATACCAAACCACAGACCAGTTTATTCTTATACTGGATGAAAATGCCTTTCCCTCTAACTTGCATACACTCGCCAATGGATACTACTTGGAGTTGCGCTGAGCAAGTTGTTTTTCTTTTTTGACCTGACAGTCCTTCCATTTTTTGGAGTGACGTTAAAGTGAAAGTGAAGTTGCTCAGTCGTGTCCGACTCTTTGTGACCCCATGGACTATAGCCTACCAGGTTCCTCCATCCATGGGATTTTCCAGGCAAGAATACTGGAGTGGGTTGCCATTTCCCTCTCCAGATCTTCCCAACCCAGGGACTGAACCCAGTCTCCCACATTGTAGGCAAACGCTTCACCGTCTGAGCCACCAATATCCAAATTTCCTTATTCTCCTTGAAATTTTTCATCTCTGGGCTAGTATTTACACGCCTTCAAACTGCTTCACCCACCACCACCCCGTACGATTTTAGTGTACATCCTCTCTTACAGGGCAGTACACCAAACCAGACATACTCCACTGACAATCCAAGCAGAAGGTAAAGCAGGACTACCACTACCAGCCTCATGTCAGTTTCTGTTCTTCTATCAGCACAGACTAGGAGTACATTAGCTTTTTAGGGCAGCTATACTATACTACTAGCTCAGATTAAGTGGATCAATTCCTCCTCAAATGTATTTAGGCTCAAATGTAGAGATGTAATATTTTATCTTTGATTTCATATCGTCGCATTTTATCTACTGCACCAAACTTGGGAGCTTCTGTTCATACACCTGGTTATTAAATATATTTATAAACCCTCTTAGCTTTAGCATATTTTGTCCATACTAGTGAAAAAACATTAAAAGGAATTAGAAGATAATAATTGTGGCAAGCTACTCAAAACGTTCCTCTCTGATTTCAAAGATGTGAACCTGAACTAATAAAGCAATACAAAAGCAAAGAAGAAAGTCAACGGGACAATTAACTCTGATAAAGCCCCTTTCCAGACTGTACATCTCATCTACGGGTTTTCACTTACTTAGGCACAAAAGCAGCAGGGACTCCATTGGCCAACAGGGGCTCAAACGCTGAATGTCCGCTCCCACTGCTATCATGGCGTCTACAACAAATCAAAAAACTCTCAATTAAATGAAATTACTTCTCCCCTAGGCCCAAATCATAGTCCCATATTCTTGGGACTTTATACTATTTCTATGGAGCACAGGTTCCCTGCTAGACAAGAGGAGGGATGCTTCAACCACAGATTCCAAAAGTTAAATTTATCCTAAGATTTAGGGCAGTAAGAAAAGTATGAAAATTTTTCAAGACCTTTTGAACTATTAAGTTGTTTCAATTATTTACTGATTTCTCACCGAAGTATCAGAATCACAAATTTACCATCCTACCATACCCAAATTAAAAACAAAAACAACACTTTAGGGGTCAACCCACACTCCTATGGTGCCCTACAGGTTAATATGGCAAGTCTGTTAAGGAAAAACTTGATCTATCACATAGAAGGGCCTTTGCATGGTGCACATAATTATCGCTTATTCCTATCATGGGAAAGATAATGTAGAATCCTCAGGTATAGGCTCACTAGAGTCAAGAAAAATTACCACCCTGGAGAACATGAGAAACCTAGATGAACCATGAAGTTATTTCTTCTCTTACCTCCACACCTCCTCACCCCGTCACTCCTGCTTAGCTAGCTGACATTAGATCAAACTGCTCAGGTGCCAATCATATTTATCTCTAGTCATCATTACCTGATCTTTCTATGACAAATACACTTGCATTAATATTTCCCTACTCAATTTTGTCATCTGAAGTATCAAAGCTGACCAATTTTTACCCTGTAGGATATGAACAATCTTATCTAGGTAATGGGGCCAATGATTTTTAAGTGTGAGGCTGCTGTCTCCTCAGAGAACACTTCTTTGACCACCATATATAAAGAAGCCCCCTTCTCATTACCCTCTGTTATATTACTATTTATCTCTATATGCTTATAATCTATGATTACCTTGGTTTATTTTTATTATCCTTTTCCTCTGGTCTCTCTCAAACCCACAAGGACTCCGTCTTGTTCAAAGCTCTACTTGCTGAAGCTGGAATAGGCTCTGACATATAGTGAGTGCTCCATTTACTAAACTAAAAAAACAACTGGAATCCTTAACTGACTCCTTGCAAAGCCTGTTAAAAGTCTTAATAGACTGTTTACTGCATTGTCAGTACAGAAAAGCAAATAACAAAAGTGGTTTTAGTCTCATTACTGACATATCTACCATACTCTAGTCCTCACTTCTGTTTGCCAAGCACTACCCTCAGAACAATTACAACAGTGAAATCGGTGGTTACCCAAATAATTAAATGCCAGGAGACTGTGGGGGAAGACTTCAAGCATGCTCTCTCAAAAATAAAATTTAACTGATTTGTATCAAAAGTACAAAGTTAACCTGGATAATAGTTGCCAGCTTATCTAGTACTTACAAAAAAAAAAAAAACCACAAAATTTATCTAACATGTGTCTCAGAAAATGAACAGCACTAATTTAAGACCTTATTATCAACCACTTCTATGAAAACCAAAGAAGGGAATCTACTAAGGGTCACAAACTGGAGCTGGCTTGTGTATCTTTGGAGAGTTACCCTGTATTTCAACAAAACCCGGGAGCCCATGGGAGAAGCCTGTTCATTACTCTGTTGGTCCTGTTACCTTCTTTTATTTTCCTGGCCATCAGCAAATATTTGGTCTTCCTCTTCCACTGTCCTTTTCTTTCTCTCTTTGAGGGCATTCAGTACAGTCTCCTTTGCACATGGATCTGGGGCACTAGTTGATGGTGAAGACAGTGTTGAGTTGATAATCTGTTCTGGTCTGCAATGAAACACAAGATTCCAGCATCAAGGTATTCTAATTACCAAGCCACAGAGCACAGATTTCAGTCACTGGACATCAGAAGCTAACTAGTAAGCAAAAGTATAATTTTATACACTCACAGAAATCACCCTACGCTATCAAAGATACAGTCTAAGGCAAAAGAAACCAAAACATGGTTCAATTACTAGAATCTGGGATTTCTCATTCAAATAAGCAGCTACTTCCTTTTTCGCTTTGTCAGAAAAATAACCGAAAAAGAATAAAAGAAATACAAACATTGGACAATACTCACATTGGAGAACGAGTCAGTTTGCTGTCTGGAGGCGCAATCCTCACTGTCACTGGGCTGCACACCATTTTGGAATTACGAGCAGACAGCACGGTCTTCTTGTGACAACCATTCCAGCATACTGTGGGAAGTACCCCCAGCAAGGAATACTGGGCCTGCTGGATTGGATAGCGCCTTCGAGGTGTTACTACAAACCGATGTGATAAAGTCCCACAGTCCCTGTGGAGAATGGGAGATACCAAAGAAGCTTGAAGAAAAGTCAGAAAATTTAAATGATTGAAGAACCACATGGGTTCAGATATTTTTCAGATGCTTTAAACTTCTTTTTAGGCAACAAAGAACACACAGTATGTTTATGGCAACTTTCCCTCATTTCATCTAAGGGCAGAAAGTGACAGCTGCATAACAGCTGTCCCTACAATGGACTTCCAACAACTTGAGAGGGAAATTGAAAACCGTGCCCACACAAGTAAATTACAATGGAAGAAAAGTGGGGGACAGGATGTGCAGGGAGGAACTTTTCAAGATGCTTCAATCTTTTATGCGAGGTCACCAGTGATACATACTCAAAGTCAAACATTTTAAACACCTAAATGTTCATCTTCTTAACTAAATGTACTTTTCATGAATCTAGTATTTTCATCAAATTTTTGTATTCTCCTGGATCATCTTTATCAAGTTTTATTGATCAAAGAGATGTTTCCTGCGAACACCTCTTTGAGCTTGGCTAAACCACAGAATTTCAATTAGTGATCCAAAGGGGTGGGGGGTGTGGAGATGGATCTAACAAATCATTTCTAACTACACTTGAAAGATAAATACATTTTCACGAGAAACAGGGATAGTTAATGGTTTATCAAGTATTCCGCTAAATCTATACTGCATGAAAATTCATATGGTTTTAAGAACTGAAAGCAAGGGAACCGCTGTGGCATTACATCTCATTCCAAAGGGTAAAGGCGGACAGGAGTTGGTAGACACGCATCAGGGTGATTAAGAGGACAAAACGACACAGAATCCACTTTGGACTTAATGAAAAAGAAAATCGGATTTAAAAGTCAAGTCCTCAACTCAAAGTCAGCGACAGAGGAGAGGCTGTGGGGAAGACCAGGGTTATCTTACCGGTAGGAAGGCCTCCTGGAGGGTCGGAGAAGAGACGCGGGGAGGGAGGGGTGAATCTGAACACGCTGGGGACGCGCCGACTGGGCCGGCGATGCGGTGCGGACAGGAGGGCGGCGGCCCGGCCTCTCCCGCAGGTCCCTGGCCTCCGGGGCGGGGGCAGGCTGCGGGGGGCCGGGCTTGCCCAGGTAACTGCCCATGAGGAGCAGTTCAGCGGGGTCAGGTCCTTCGAGCGGGCTCCGCGGCTCTAGGAGATTTCCGTTTGCTACCGATTTGGCAGGAGGCGAGGCGAGCAATGTTCGCTGACGCCGCGCGTTCCAAACGAGCGAGGAGAGGGCGCGCGAACCTCTGGGCTCGCGGCTTAGTCCCCACCAGGCCGCAGTAGCCCCCACAGCCAACCAGGCCAGCGCAGCCGCCGCCGGCACCAGGTACAGCACGAGGCCGAGCAGCGACAGGCCGAGCAGCGCCGCCCCGGCCGGCCCGCCACAGCCCCAGCCGCGGCCCTCCCTGACACTCGCTATCGGCCGCCGTCGGTCGCCTCCCCCAGCCGCCGCAGCCGCCGGAGACATCGCGGCTCCGCGCCGCGGAGAAGACTTAAATATCCCAGCGTGCACCTCGCCGCGCCCGCGTCGCCGCGCGCCTACTGCGTCACTGCGCACGCGACGCAGACGCGCGACTGCGACGGGAAACGCTGCTGCCTGGCAACGCGCTAGACCCGACCTGTTTCTGAAAACGCCGCCTGGCGAAACAGCGAGTTCTGATTCTTGACGATTCCCGCCTGTCCGCACAGCACCCAGCAAGAGGTGAGACTTTTGGAAGAATCGCGTTAAGAATAAAAGCGCCGGAAAACGACTACTAAAGTAACGTTTATTTCCTAGATGGTTACACACCCTACAAGAGATTATCAGCCACTTTTCACAAGTGCTACCTGAGGTTGCGAGGTTTTCAGTTACTCTGTTTTCTGCAAAAGTATAAACTGCTAAAGGGAGTTGACTTTAACAGCAATAAGAACTAAGGCCAACACTAACCATCCTCCTTAAAGGTGCATCGAGTACCAATAAAAGGGCTTCCCTGACGGCTCAGTGGTAAAGAATCCGCCTGCAGTGCAAGAGACGAGGGTTCTATTCCTGGGTCAGGAAGATCCCCTGGAGGAGGAAATGGCAACCCACTCCAGTATTCTTGCCTGGAAAATCCCATGGACAGAGGAGTGTGGCAGGCTACAGTCCATGGGGTCGCAAAGAATCGGACACGACTGAGCACGCACGCAGTACTAATAAATTTCCCGATTAAACAGGCTAATAGTCTAATAAACTGCAGATCAGACCTGAAGCTGCAATATAAGTTTGCGCTTCTGCAGTACACATTTATAAATGGGGGCAAAATTAAAGTGTTAGTCGCTCAGTTGTGTCCAACTCTGGGAGTCCATGGACCGAAGCCCACCAGCCTCCTCAGTCCACGGGTATCCTGCATTGCAGGCAGATTTTTTACCATCTGAGCCACCAAGTAAGCCCCATAAATTGGGGCAATTACTTATCAAATTTCCCATCATCCTCAGAACCGGGTAGATTTTTAGGATTTGTGATTAATTTACCTGTGTTAAGTTTGGTGGCCTGAGAAAGTAGATTAGTGTTTGTCGAGTACTGGGTCAGGGTATGGTGAGTGACTTAAAGGGTAGAGTTTCCTTTTGGGGTGACAAAGATGTTTAAAAATTAGATTACAGTGATGTTGCATAGCCCTGTGAATTGTATGATATTTAAATTATATCTTAATAGAACTGTTTAAAAAAAAACTTGGTGGTCTGCCAATTCAGGCTTTGGCCTAGCTCGGCTTCCTCAGTCATTCATTCATTGATTTATTCCTTCTATTACTGATATACACTAAAGAGATTAATGGGGAGAAACACAGGGTCTCTCATCTTTAGAAGCCCCTGGTTTAGTACAGAAGAAAAATATGTAAATAGAAAGTTACGATTCATGTACCCCAATGTTCATCGCAGCACTGTTTATAATAGCCAGGACATGGAAGAACCCTAGATGTCCATCAGCAGATGAATGGATAAGCAAGCTGTGGTACATATACACAATGGAACATTACTCAGCCATTGAAAAGAATTCATTTGAATCAGTTCTAATGAGGTGGATGAAACTGGAGCCCATTATACAGAGTAAAGTAAGCCAGAAAGAAAAACACCAATACAGTATACTAATGCATATATTGGAGAAGGCAAGGGCACCCTACTCCAGTACTCTTGCCTGGAAAATCCCATGGACAGAGGAGCCTGGTGGGCTGCAGTCCATGGGGTCAATAAGAGTCGGACACGGCTGAGTGACTTCACTTTCACTTTTCACTTTCATGCACTGGAGAAGGAAATGGCAACCCACTCCAGTGTTCTTGTCTGGAGAATCCCAGGGAGGGGGGAGCCTGGTGGGCTGCTGTCTATGGGGTCGCATAGAGTCGGACACGACTGAAGAGACTTAGCCGAATGCATATATATGGAATTTAGAAAGATGGTAACGATAACACTATATGCAAGACAGAAAAAGAGACACAGATGTACAGAATAGAGTTTTGGACTCTGTGGGAGAAGGTGAGGGTGGGATGATCTGAGAGAACAGCATTGAAACATGTATATTATCAATTGTGAAACAGATCATGAGTCCAGGTTTGATGCATGAGACAAGTGCTGAGGGCTGGTGCACTAGGATGACCCAGAGGGATGGGATGGGGAGGGAGGTGGGAGGGGGGGTTCAGGATGGGGAACATATGTAAATCCATGGCTGATTCATATCAATGTATGGCAAAAACCACTACAATATTGTAAAGTAATTAGCCTCCAACTAAAAAAATAAATGAAAAAAATTAAATGAAAAAAAATTTTAAATTCTATTAAACTAAAAAAAAAGAAAGTTACGATTCATTGTGGTAACTGTGATAAGAGGCATAAAAAGGGAAGGAATGATAAAGGGGAAGATGGGTTGGGAGGTGCTATTTGAGCTGAGAGAACTTGCTTAAAGCAGGTTCAAGAAGCATGAAGAAGTGTTTTGCAGAAGCACAGAGATGGAAAGGAGTATGACGTAAGAGTCTGCAGTTTGTTATGGCTGGAGATTAGGCTGTTTAGGGCAATAGGGAGGCTGGGAAGACTGGAGGGGCTCAGAAAAGAGGCCTCTGGAGCAACGTGGAGACATGAGAAAAGCAAGCAGTTCTCTTCCCTGGCCCATAGCTAGTGCAATTCTGTTTCTATCTGTTTGATATACTGTGATTCTATAAAAAACTTCATTTGAAAAGGAAAGAGTGTGGGCATGTTACTTAAAAAAAAAAAAAAAGAAATCCTGGGAATTCTCTGCAGGTCCAGTGATTAGGACTCTGTGCTTTCATTGGTCGGGAAACTAAGATCCCATAAGTGGCAGTGCATAGCCAAAAAAAGAAAAGAGAAAAAAAAAAGCTCAATAATATTAGTGTAGGTGGAATAGTGTAGGTGGGACAGCTGCAGTGGGTTAAACAGTGACTGGAAGATGAGGAAATGGAAGCAGTGTATACAGACTTCCCATTCAAGAAACTTCAATAATAAGGGAAGAAGAAAGATGGATTTATTAATAGCTCAGCAAGGGTCTTTTAAATTATCATGTATTAGTGGTGTTCCAGAGAGGTAAAAGCTATCACTAGTGTACAGATGCCACGACTAAGATTTCTTAGGAATTAATGTAAATAAAGAGGTTCAAGGCCCGAGCGCTGGGCACCCCAGTGTTAAGAGGTTAAAGAAATGAACACACTCAAAGCACAAATCATTTAGTAAAATATAGATGAATATAACTACATTAAAATTTAATACTTCTATATTAAGCCACTAGGGAAACAGGATTCTAACTCATATAACCAAAAAAGGATTAGTAACTAGAATTTATTAGGACTGAATCAGTAACAAATCAGTAGCAAAAAGATGACTCAATTATTTAGAAGGACAGTGATATCAAATGCAATTTACTGAACAGGAAATCCAATAATAGCCAATAATAAATATATACATATGTACATGTATATGTGCATATACATGTAGTACATACACACATATATATTTTTAATCTTACTGGTAATTTAAGAAGGGTTTATTGCTGTAACAGGGCTTCCCAGGTGGCACTAGTGGTAAAAAACCCACCTACCAATGCAGGAGACATAAGAGACGTGGGTTCAATCCCTGGGTCGGGAAGATCCCCTGGAGGAGGGCATGGCAACCCACCCCAGTATTCTTGAGTATTCTTGCCTGGAAAATCCCCATGGACAGAGGAGCCTGGGGGGCTACAGTCTATAGGGTCCCACAGAATCAGACATGACTGAAGCAACTTAGCACTCATGCATGCACATCAGTGTAAAAAGGTAACATCTGGCATTCATTTGCACAAGTAGAAAAATGTAATAGTTCAACAAGATCAAGTTTTGGCAAGGATGTGGAACAAATGGAATTTGTGTGCTATATGTGGATATGTAAAACAATATAATTTTGAGAGCAGTTTGGCAATATCACATAAAGTTGAAGAAATAATGTATCTCATAACCCTGCAGTTCCATTTCTGGGTACAAAGATAGTCACTGCAGCATCATTTGTATAACTGACTCTTTGAATACATCCAAATGTCTACTGTAGACTAACACAAGAACAGATGAATAGTGGTATAATTCACATAACAAAATACCACAAAACTGCTGGAAATTAACCACCTATCTGACCATGATTAAGTGATACCACAACAGTCCTATAGACAACTATACAAATGGGCACAATTTTTGAGGCAACTGTTTGCAGGCAGGGGACAACAGGAAGCACAGGCTGATCTCTGAGCAGAAACTCATAAGGTGAGTCCCCCAGATCTAGCTCCTCTACCCGGGGACGGTTTCTGCAAACACTGCAGAGAGCTGGAGCCTAAGCAGGGTCGGGAGAGCCCACTGGGCTCAGGAGGCAGAGCCCAGGCTTTGAAAGCACTGAAATGGCTGGGAACCACCGGGCAGAGCAAGAAAACGGAGGGTGCCACGCAGTTACCCAAGTCTGTGTATGGGACCCCACAGATCTCTGGTGGGATGCTGATGTGATGGTTAATTTTATGTCTCAACTTGACTGTACCATGGGGTGCCTGGATGTTCTGTTGAACATCATTTTTCAGTATATCTACGGGAGTGTTTCTGGATGAGATGAACACTGAATTGGTAGACTGAGTAAAGAGATTGCCCCTTCCACAGTAAGTGGGCCTCGACCAATCCACCGAAGGTCTGGATAGAACAAAAGGGATGAGAAGCAATTCTCTCTGCCTGTCTGAGCTGGCCATCAGCCTCTTCCTGCTTTCAGACTTGGATTTGGACTAGAACTCCAGCTACTTACCGGCTCTTCTGCTTCTTGGACTGAACTACACCATCAGCTCTCCTGGGTCTCCAGCTTGCTGACTACACATCTTGGAATTTCTCAGTTTTCTATAATGACATGAACCAATTCCTAATTCTTCCTAGTAGTAATAAATATGTATGTGTTCATCTCTAGTTTATTGGCTCTGTTTCTCTGGAAAACCCTGTATAACACAGCCAGGCGGCATATGCAGAGTGAGACAACCCGATGCTTACCAGAAAGTGGGTACTATATGGGGCTAAGATTAGAACAGAGATACCAGAGTTAGAGCAGTCCTTGGATAAGAGCATTGACAAGGGAGTTGTGGCCATGCCAAAGTGGAGGCATCCCGTAAATGCATTTTTAACACCCTTGGCATCCAGTTGAAACAGTAGAAAGGGTTCAGGGAGTCCATTGGGGCTGTCTGTCAGTTCCCTGCCTATCTGAAATGGAGGTGATGGAGCTAAGAGTTTACCAAAGCAGTAAAGTTTAAAAGACAGAATACCAGGGACTTCTCAGGTGGTCCAGTGGTTAAGACTCTGTGCTTCCAATGTAGGGGGCATGGGTTTGATCCATGGTTGGGGAACTAAGATCCCACATGCCAAGTAGCTCAGAGAAGATAATAGAAGAATACCAGAGAAAAAAGAACTGTAACAGGATCCCAGAGGTCTACAGAGGTCTCCTTGAGTATTCAGCACAGTACTCATTAGTCTATGTTTATGAGATTACCCAAATCCAAAGAAAAAGCATTAGAGGAAACAGGATCTGGCTCTAAAAAATGGCTAGGAAAGGTATCTGTTCCCCTGGCCAGATTGGGAAAAGCATACTTCATAGGACACTGGGTAGAGTGCTCAGGAAGGCACTGCTGCCTCAGCAGAGGAAATAATCCTCCTTAGACTGAGCACTGCTCTCAACCTACTTAAGAGGTCAAAAAGCAAAGTCTAAAAGAATCAAACTTTTCCAAGGACTTTAACTGCATCCCAAAACAAAGTTCAAGAAAACATACAGGAATAAAAAGTGACCAGAACTCCACAAGGCAAACTTCACAATGTCTGACATCCAAAGACTACCAGGCATACAAACAAGCAGGGAAACATGACCTGTCAAAAGGAGAATAATCAAAACTGACCCAGAACAGACCACATGGGTTAAAACTAGCAAAGAATGACATTAAAAGTTACCTTAGGGACTTTCCTGGTGGTCCAGTGCTTAAGCCCCTGCCCATGCAGGGGACGTGGGTTCAATCCTTGGTTCGGGAAGATCTTAGTTGCTGTGGAGCAACTAAGCTCCTGCAGCCCATGCTCTCGAGCCCAGAGCTGCAAATACTGAGGCCTCACGCGGCAACTACTGCTACAACCACTAAGCCTGCACACCTAGAGGCCGAGCTCCGCCGCGGGAAGCCACCACCATGAGAGGCCCAAGTCTGCCAACGAACAGCAGCCTGCGCTCACAGCTGGAGAAAGCTGCGAGCAGCAGCCAAGACCCAGTGTAGCCAAAAACCAACAAGAAGGCATCAATATAATTACATTTCAAATGTTTAAAAAGTTAAGTATAGTGATATGGAAAAATATGAGAAGAAATAATGGCCCTAAACTTTCCAAACACAGTAAAAAACATTTAAAAACCCCACAATTCTGAAGCTCAATCCCAAGTACAAGGTATATAAAGAAAACTATAACAAGTCACATCAAAGTCAAATTGTCAAAACCCAGCAATACAGATAAAATTCTAAAGAAAAAAGAATGTTTCTGAGGAACAAAGATAAAGATGATACCAAATTTCTTGTTGAAAACAATGTAAGTGAGACGATAATAGAGTAATAACTTTAAAGTACTGAAAGAAAAAAACTATAAATTAAAATTATATCCCAGTGAAAAATATCTTTTAATATCTTCATCACCACCAGACCAACTACAAGAAATGTTAAAGAATGTCCTTCAGGCCCAAGGAAAATCATCCCATATGGAAATCTAGATCTACATAAAGGAACAAAGAGCATCAGAAATGGTAACATAGGTAAATATTTATGACTTTTTTCTTGTTATTTAAATCTTTTAAAAACATAAGATTGACATAAGCAAAATAGCAGAGGCAGCATCTTCAGCTCCCATCCCCTCACAGAAACATCAAAAAACAGAGCAGTAACTATTAGAACTAACTTTATCAGAACTCTGGAAAACAATCAAAGATTTACAAAAACCAAACAAATGCTAAGTCAAGAAAACAGCCATTTAAAAGTGGTGGAAAGCTTTGTGGCATTTTTACTTGCTTTTCTCCCACCCACTCTCCAGCTTGGCAGCAATCCATAAGATAGAACCCTACATTCCCAGTGTGAGAATCTGGTCCTTGTTTCATAGGGAACAGAGCATATCTTATTTGCAAATTATCCTATATTTCTGCTCTAACCTATATAGGAACTACCTGAAGGAATTATGCAGGCACTTTTTCTGTTCTGCTGAACTTGGAACTCACTTAGGCCAGAAAAGCAAGTGGACATTGCTTGAAAATATCACAAGGTAAATAAACCACAGATGCATGGGGCAAAAGATTACAGTTGAGATAAACAATGGACTACTGTTACAGACTGAACTGTGTTCCCCCAATGTAAATACTGAACCCTAATCCACAATGGGCCTTTAAAGATTAATTAAGGTTAAAAGAGGTTATATGAGTGGGGCCCAATCCAATATGATTAGTGTCCTTATAAGAAGAGGTAGAGACACCAGAGACGCAGAGAAAAGGCCACATGAGTACACAGGAAGAAGGTGTCATCTGTAAATCAAGAAGCAAGGACTCAGGAAAAACCAGCCCTACAACACTTTGGTCTTGGACTTCCATCATCCAGAATTGTGAGAAAACAAATTTCTGTTGAGTATACCACTCAGTCCATGATATTTTGTTATGGCAACCCTCATACAGACCAAAGCAGGCTGCCTAAAGTCTGGGAGGAAAAGCTGGGTAGAGTTTCTTTGGGTAAGCAGGGCGTTTATAATCATCTGTGTAACAGAGTATTTAGAAGGTTACGAGAATGCCTAGAGCAAGATGCACACTCAGAAAATACCTGACAGAAACAGACTCATAGATAGCAGAGAACAAACTAGTGGTTACCAGTGGGAAGAGGAGCAAGATGGGGTAGGAGATTAACAAACTACTATGTAGATACAAACTTTTATATATAAACTAAACTACAAGGGTACAGCACATAGAATATTGCTAACATTTGATAATAATTTAAAATAGTATGTATTAGTCTCTCAGTGGTATCCAACTCTTTGCAACTCCATGGACTGGAGCTTGCCAGGGTCCTCTGTCCATGGAATTCTTCAGGCAAGAATACTGGAGTGGGAAATATTTACAGATAAATTTAAATGTAACAAAATATATGCAAGACTTTGATACTAAAACATTACACTAAATATGCAAATAATTTTTAGAGATATTAAAGAAGATCTAAATAGAGAGATATATGTTTATGGATTAGAATATTCAATATTGTTAAGATAGCCATTTCTCTTTCATATTGATCTATAGATTCAGTGCAATCCCAATGAAAATGTCAGGTTTTTAACTAGAAATTGATAAGGTGGTTTAAAATTTATATGGATATGCAAAGAACCCAGAATAGCTCAGTCAACTCAACTGACAAATAATTAAATTGGAGGTCTTATACTATCTGACTTCAAGACTTACAGCAAAAGTTATAGTAATCAAGACAGTATGTTGACATAAACACAGACATACAGGTTAATGGAACAGAAGAGAGAATCCAGAAAGAGACTAACATACATGTGGTCAACCAATGTTCTATATTGGCACCACTGTAATTCAATGGGGAAGATGCTGGAACCCTGGATGTATTTGTTATCTATTACTGCATAACAAATTACCCCACAATTAAGTAGCTTAACTCAACAAACCTTTCCTATCTTACAGAGCCAGGAATCTGGGAGTGGCTTAAGTGGGGGTTCTGGCTCCGGATCTTTCATGAGGTGGCAGTCAAGACACTATGCTGTCATGTGTAGGGTCTGCTTCCAAGACCGCTCACTGCCTGGTTATCTGGAGGAGGCCTCAGTTCCCTGCCAGCTGTTGGCAGAAGGCCTCCGTTTCTCACTACATGGACCTCTCCACAGGGCTGTTTAAGTGTCCTCATCACATGGCAGCTGGTTTCCCACAGAGCAATTAATCCAGAGCGAGAAAGGGGGGAAGCCACAATGCCTTTTAGGCCTGAATCTTGTGTCTCACACCAACATTTGTACTGTAATCATTAAAAATCAAGTTTCACTGGAACTAATACACACTCATCCGATTTTCTATTGTCTGTGGCTGCATTTCCACCGTAAGAGCAGAGTTGAGTAGTTGTAATAGAGACCATATGGCCTCTAAACCTAAAATATTTACTACCCGGCTGTGATTGGCATAACCTACAGTGCTTGTCTTAGTGTCTTAAACATAGTAGCTTCTCAAGAAATGTGCTAGTGCCCATGAACAATACATGTTGGTTAGTTTGTTCAATAAATATTAGTTGAGCTCCTAAACGCCAGTAATATCATAAGTGCTAATGATATATAGTCAACAAGACAGACCTGGTTCCTACTCTAATTTTCTTCATTGCAGAGGTCCAGGTTGCCTCAGGGTGTAACACGTTATGAAAGTGACAGTATTAGTCACTCATTTGTGTCTGACTCTGCGACCCTGTGGACTGAAGCCCACCAGGCTCCTCTGTCCATGGAATTCTCCATGCAAGAATACTGAAGTGGGTTGCCATTCCCTTCTCCGGGGGATCTTCCCACCTGGGGATAGAACCCTGGTCTCCGGCACTGCAGGCAGATTCTTTACCATTTGAGCCACCAGGGAAGGACTCTATTGTCCTGCTTCCCAGTAGAGGGCAGTCTGAAGCTTGTCCCCAGTGGATTGTTAACTCCAACAATCTAATACTGTCAGTGAAGAACTGTCATTAAGGACAAAACACCAAACTACCCAAGATGTGTATTTATTCTCTCAACAGAATTTTTAAATGTGTCAAGTTTGTCTCTGGAACTCCTGGCCTCCTGTTTTTCCACTCTTTCCACCTTTTTCCCTGCAGAGGTGGTATGAACCATTATAGGCACCGCTGGAAAGTTAAAAACATGGTGGAAACAACCAGGTGCATCTCTCACTGACAGACGAGCCAGGGTGGGGAGAAAGAGGGGATTCCTGCGAGGGATGGATATACCTGGTAAGTACAGAACCGCAGGCCAGAAGCAGTTCTGGGGGTAGAAACCTGGTGTCTACCATGTTAAGAGAAGAAATACATGCCTTCCAGTTGTTAGTTCACTACTGACTGTGCACCCACTACCTACTCTGTGCCACCCAGTATACGGCAACGCGGACTACAGACATGGTGCCAGCCCTCAAGGAGGATGTAGTTTAACAAAGAAGTCAGACATTAAAGGGTAAGAAAAGCACTGAAAGTACCAAATTATTCAACAGTAAAGACTGTTCAATTACTAATAGTATAAGAAACCAATAAAGAATGCAGTGGTGGACTTCCCTGATGGTCTAGTGGTTAAGAATCTGCCTGCCAATGCAGGGGACACTAGTTCGATCCCTAGTCCAGGAATCCCCACGCACCACAGGACAACTAAGCCTGTGTGCCACAACTCCTGAAGCCTGAGCGCCCCAGAGCCTGTGTTCCAGAACAATGAAAAGCCCACACACTGCAACTAGAGAGTAGCCCCCGCTTGCCGCAACCAGAGAAAGCCTGCACACAGCAACAAAGACCCAGTGCAGCCCTCCCAAAAAAGTGCAGGGGCAAAAAACAGTCATTTTATTATCCTGAGATTCTTTGATTCTAGTGGACTGGCTTGTTTCTGCTCCTCAGTATTTGAAAGCTCAACTAGGAAGGCACAAAGGCTAGGAATGACTGATGGTAGAAGGCTGGCATCATTTAAGATGCCTCTTCCCTCACACTGCTAATGGCTGTCAGCTGGGACATCTGCTGAATTATGGACCAGGAACATGTACACATTTCTTCTCCATGCTGTGTCTCCATGTGGATTACTGTGTGCTTCCTCGGAGTATGGCAGCTTAGTTCTGAGAGCCAGTGTTCCCAGACAGAAAGGCAGAAGTGCACAGCGTATTGATGACCTAGCCTGGGAAGTAACATAGAGTCACTTCTGTCCTACTTTACTTGGTCAAGGCCATCACCGAGATCTGCACAGGTTTAAGAGGAAGACACAGACCTCCCACTACTCAATGGAAGAAGCTGTAAGGTTATACAGTCAGATGAGCATGTGTGATGGGAAATGTTTCTGTGGCTATCTTTGGAAAACTCGATCTGTCACCGGCTGTCGTGATAGCACAGGGTGGGGTATAACAGACGAGAGGGTCAGTCAGCAAAGGCCTCTGTGAGGCAGTCTTGTCTTTGGCTAAGGGGGTGAAAGCTAAGAAGGAGCCTTGGGAAGAGCTTTAGGTAGAGGAATCAACAGGTGTAATGACTGCAGTCCAGAGAGAGGCTGGTGTGTTTGAATGCTGCACATTCATGGGACAAGAGCATGGAAGGCCAGAGAAAAGTGCTGCAGGGGAGGGTCCAGACGGGAGATACCGAGTGGCCTGGCTCATGTCTGTGCTGGACCCCCGAAAACAGGAGCAGCCTCCAGTCAGCAGTGTCTTAGGAAAAGAGAGACTGGAGAGGAGAGAGCAGGGAATGGCTGTTCCCAAACTGGTGAAAGTGGGGGAAAGCTGTGTAGTTTAGTAGATATCCTACCCCAGTGGTCCCTGCATGGAAGATAAAATTGAATCTAACTCTTATCTGATAAAATAAGGAAAGTCTGGAGAAATAATTAAGCCCGAGGCAGCTGTGGATAAAAAGAGACTGCACAGCAACACAGTGGAGGTGGGGCGACCCTGCAAGGCTACAGTTAACAACCTAAGTTGCCATCAATTAAACATCTGCTGCCTTGTACTCTTTTCCCTCAACCTCAATTCAGGTTAACGACTGAATTTTTTTTCTTTCTCATTTTATACTTTGGATTCAGTGTGTCTCCATTGCTGATCTTGTCTCAAGAGTCAGATCCAAGAGGTGTGTAAAGATCCATAGATCCCATGGGACTTCCCTGGTGGTGCAGTGGTTAAGAATCCACCTGCCGATGCCGAGGACATGAGTTCAATCGCTGGTCTGGGAAGATCCACATGCATGCCGCAGAGCAGCTAGACCTGTGCACAACTACTGAACCTCTGCGCTGCAGCAAGAGAAGCCAACGAACTCAGGAGCCTGGGCACAGCAACAGGAGCAGCCATGGCTTGCTGAAACCGGAGAAAGCCCGCAGGCAGCAAGGAAGACTCAGCACAGCCAAAATCAGTCAATTAATTAAAAATAAGAGAATGGATACTGGGTATCACTGTACAGGTATTAACACATTGTATCAGACAAAATTATAAACATCTACATGCCAATGTCAAGAGAAAAAGCTAGATATATACAAAATAGATAGCCAGCAAGGACCTACTGTATAGCACAGGGAACTACCTGAAATATAATCTGAAAAAGAATATATGTATATGTATCACTGAATCACTTTGCTGTACATCTGAAACTAACACACACTGTAAATCAACTACACTTAAATTGAGAGAAAAAATGGAGGAGATGAATAAAAAAGCTAGAAAGTAGGGACTAGATCATGAGGGACCTTGAAATTCAGGTTAGAGTCCGGCTTGTGAGCTTCTCTAAACATACAATTTTAATCCAACAGCAGACACACGACAAATTATGTGAGTACTAAACTACATACCAGACTGATTCATGTGTCTGAAATTCTGTTCCTCCTGCTTCTGTATGAAATGCGTTTACTCATCAGGGGAAAAACTACTTATTTTCTAAGATTCGCCCTAAGTGTTACCACCTCTATGAACCCTTCCTTAGTCCCAAAGATATGGCCACTACCACCCTGGTGTCCCTACTATCTTGCACAGACTATTTACATTGCATTTATTTACTTAATTGTGCTCATTCGCATATATATTACTCCCTACTCTATAGTCTCTGGACTCTGTGAAGACAGAGACTGTGTCTTGTTCACAATACTCAACATGGTGAGCCTTCAGTAAATGTTTGCATGAGTGAATTTCATCTTCAAACTGAAGCTGACAAGAATCTGACTTCCCTACTTTGGTGGCAGACCACGGACAGCTGGGGTTTCTTTTACCTAAAGCTGCCGCTAAGTCACTTCAGTCGTGTCCGACTCTGTGCGACCCCATAGACGGCAGCCCACCAGGCTCCGCCATCCCTGGGATTCTCCAGGAAAGAACACTGGAGTGGGTTGCCATTTCCTTCTCCAATGCATGAAAGTGAAAAGTGAAAGTGAAGTCGCTCAGTCATGTCCGACTTTTTTTTTTTTTTTTTGGTCACATGGCACGCAGGATCTTAGTTCCCTGACCAGGGATGGAACCCACACCCCTTGCTTTGGGGGTACAGATTCTTAACCACCAGACTGCAAGAATAGTCCCAAGAAAACTATTTTAAATGCCTTATGTTGTTTCCTGGTGCAAAGAAGATGGAGTATGCACATTCCATCATCTTCCTCTCACTAATTACAACCAAAATTGCTGTTCAAAACACATGACACAATTATTAAAAAAAAAAAAAAAAAAAAAAACCTCTCAAAAGGTGGAGAAAAGGCAAACTGACTGGAGACTCAAGGGATAACTCACTGGTGAGTTTCCTGGGTGGTCTGTTTGTTTTGACTCCTATATATTTTGGCTTGGGTGTTAGAGCAGTCTGCAACTAGAAAATGGCAATGAGTCCTTCTCAAAGCAAAATAACCCATAAAAACCAAGCCCTAAGAAAAGCCTATACTCTGCAGCAAATGATGAGGAGAGTAGCTCTGCAAGATGGTACCCTTTAGGTTACAGTCACCCTACTCTAGGCAAATGCCACAAAAGAACTCATACCTTTCTCCCTCTCCACCAGGTACTGCAGAGGCTATAAGACAAAGCCCTGTTGACCATGCCCACCTGGTACCAACAAAGCAGAGGTGCCACCTCTCCCCTGCCCACCAGGTACTGGAGACTGTGGGGAGGAGCCACAACCTGCACTAACTGGATAACAGTTAAAAGGCAGCACCTAATCCCCTCTCAAATAGAGAACAGGGAGCTAGAAAAAGGCATTCTTTAAATATGTGTATGAAGGATTAGTCATGCTTTCCTAGCAGTGCATATGTGAAACCAATCAATATCAACACAGCAAAAGCTTTGGGAATTGAACTACAATGAGGAATACTCTGAGGTTCCAAGTCAGTGTCTGGGTAGTACACAAATTGGGCAGGCCAGAACAGCTCTGAAAAACGCTGTGAAAATGAAACTGATCTTCAAACTAGAGCCCACAAAATTAGATGAGAATGTGCATTCTGAATATAAATATATGGAAATTGATTTCCTCCTAAAATAGATTTACAAAAAAACTAGAACCTCATAATATTCAACATGTCCATGATAAAATCTAAAAATTACTCTTCATACTAAGCGCTAAGAAAAAAAATCAAATGAGAGAATACAATCAACAGATGCTGACTGCAAGGTGAAAAAGATATTGAAATTGTTGAACAAGGATTTCAGAGCAGCCGTTATAAATATACTGCAAGAAATAATTATGAACACTCTTGAAACTTACTGATAAATAGAAAGTCTCATCAAAGAAAAATACCTAAAGATCCAGAGGGAAATTTCAGAATTAAACATTACAGTTAAGTTAAAAAATGCACTGTATGGACTCAAGAGCAAAACGGAGATTTAACAGAGAAAGGAATCAGTGAATCTAAAGATGTATCTGTAGAAATGATCCAATATAAGGAAAAGAAACAAAACAACAAAAAAAAAGTGTAAGTATCTAAGGTACAGTAACAGAAGATCTAAAACACTCATGTCACTGGAGTCCCAGAAGGAGGAGAGAAAGAGTACAGCACATAAAAAATATTTGAAGAAATAATGGCTGAAAACTCAAATTTGGCAAAAGACATAAACCTGCCAATTCAAATACCTGAGCAAACCCTGAAAGAATAAACTCAAATAAGTCAACACCCAGATACATCATAATTAAATGTCTGAAAATTAAAAATAAAGGGAAAAAATTTCAAAAACAGGTGGAGAAAAACAAAGTATTACCTATAGAGAAAGAACAATTTGAAATACTACAGATTTCTCATCAGAAACCATGGAGGAGAGAAGGAAGTAGCAAAACATTTTTAAAGTGCCAAAAGAAAAAAAAATGACAATGCATAATTCTATATCCAGTGAAAATATCTTTCCAGAAAGAAGGCAAACTAAAAAATATCAAGAGACAGAGGAAATGAAGTGATCTGCCACTATCAGACCTGCTCTAAAAGAAGTGACAAAGGAAAAGTTCTCCAAATAAAAAGAAATTAACAGAAGTTTGAAATATCAGGAATGAAGAAAAAGCAATTTTTAGGGCAAATATCTGTGTGACTATAATCTCTTGAATTTTTAGTTATGTTTGGTAGATGACAACAAAATTATAATGTTGTCTTATATGGTCCTCAATGTATGTAGAGGTAAAATTTGAAACAATGTCATAAAGGGAAGAAAAAGAACCTAAAGGTGGTAAAGTTTCTACATTCTGCTTGAACTGGTAAAGCTTGACACTACTGGTAACCTATCATAAGTATGTGTAACATAATCTCAGCATTAACCACTGAAAACCTATACAACAAAAGCTACATTAAAAAAATCTATAGCTATATTAGGGAGGGTACCTGGTGGCTCAGATGGTAAAGAATATACTTGCAATGCAGGAGACCCAGGTTCGATCCCTAAGCCAGGAAGATCCCCTAGAGAAGGAAGTGGCAACCCATTCCAGTATTCTTGCCTGGAGAATCCCACGGACAGAGGAGCCTGGTGGGCTATAGTCCATGGGATCGAAAAGAGTAGGACATGACTAAGCAACTACCACGTTCACTTTCACAGCTATATTAAAATGATATACTAAAAAATGTTCAAGTATCTATCCCATAAGAGGGCAAGAAAAGGGAAAAGGAAGCACCAAAAAAGCAGGAATAAATAGAAAATAAGTAAAATGGCAGACTTAAATCCTAACCAATCAAAAATTATATTAAATGTAAATCATCTAAACAAATAAATTAAGAAAACAGAGATGATCAGGACATATTCTTCTAAAACTGAGTCAGAGTGATGTCACACAAAATGACAGAGTAGGAACTAGGGGTTTGTCCCTTCACCAAAGCAATCATTGAGCTACAAAGAATGACTGAAATCAACTATTTTGTAACTTGGAACATGACCAGAAACTTTTAACAACCTGAGGAGTCCTTCTACCAATGAAGGGAAAGGTTGCTGATCTTTCACAAGTGAAGAACTGTGCAAACTAGTCAATATCCCTTGTTCCTCAGACATGCTGCAGCTGTATAGGATAGCACCCTATGTTCCTGAGGAAGCTGGCTGATGCCAGAGTAGAGAGTGGAAACACTGTCCTCCCAAAGTTTGGGGTCACACAGTTTGATTAGTCGGATGGGTCCCTGAAGATCAGCATTGATGCTTGCCTTGGATTTGACCCTACTGGCAGCTTTGGCTTTTCCTGGAACATCTATCAGATTAAAAGAGACAGAATACACCTCCGCTAGCTCCCTATTTAGAGTCAAACATTTAAGAAAATCTGTGTCCTGTCACTGACAGACAGCAGAGAAAATGGAACAGAAACTTCAGTGACCACAGAAAAACAAGGAATACACATTTTGCAATAATAGTTTGTAAAAGTAACAGCTCCAGCCCTCAACAGGCAAAAACTAGCAATCCCTGATCAGTAAGAATCACACTTTGAGAGTTATCACATTATAACACTTTGAGCAGGAAATGGCAACCCTCTCCAGTATTCTTGCCTGGGAAATCACATGGACAGAGGAACCTGGTGGGCTACAGTATATAGAGTCACAAAGAGTTGGACATGACAGAGCCACTGATCACACATTACAGCACTTAGAATATATAGCTCTCAACAAAAAATTTAAAACAAAGAAACAGGAAAGTATGGGCCATTCACAAGAAAAAAAAGAAAACAATTAGCCCAGACACTGGACTAACTAAACAAAAACTTTAAATCAAGCATCTTAAACAAGTTCAATGAGCTTAGGAAACCATGGACAAAGAAA